TATATTCAATAGAGAAGACCATGATAACTAATGATGGATTTAGGATATAATGTTCCTTCAGGAACAGATTTACTTTATTGTTTCTATATATATTCAATAGAGAAGACCATGATAACTAATGATGAATTTAGGATATAATGTTCCTTCAGGAACAGATTTACTTTATTGTTTCTATATATATTCAATGGAGAAGACCATGATAACTAATGATGAATTTAGGATATAATGTTCCGTTGGGAACAGATTTAATTTAATTGTCTTGTACACCACTGATGTTTTGTCTACAGCATGGTAATTATACACATTTATGTTGTAGATATTCTGGACGAGGATAGCTCAGACGAGGATGGGTCTGGTAGCGGGTCGGGTAGTGACAGTGAAAGTGAGGATGATGAAGAGAAAGGTATGTATACAGGGTAGAAAGTTAGTGATACTTAAAAACCACATTGTGTCCGTGTGTATTTTGGTATTCTTGAATATATCTATGCTAACTTTCATAAAACGAAATAAAGAATAGGTTATTTTTTAGCAGACTTCTAGATTTCAGTTATTTTATTATAGCTAAAATCGTCCCATTTTTGTGTTGCCTGCAACGTGAAGTGACATATAGGTATTACTTTGTCGGCGTCGTTGGTTGCGTCGTCCGAAACAGGATTTTCGTGCGATAACTTGAGTTCCCTTGGGTTGATTGAAATCAAACTTTGTACACATATTGCATACCAATATAGCTTGGACAACTTCGCATTTCAGAAGTTGACGTGTATTTTTGGTGGAGTTATGCCCATTTTATTGCCAAATAAGGTCATTGTGTAGTAAAACAATTCCTTTCAAATGTTGTACGGTAATGCTAGAAGCAATAATGTTCAACATATATTGCGGGTTTTTCTGTTGAGTTTCAACTTTCAACGTTTTGGCATATCTGTTTACGTGATAACTCGAGCTTAAACACTTGTCTTATTAAAAGCGCTGAGCAGGCGACACATCCACTCCCGTGGAATTCTTGGCCTAATTCATTACTGAAGAAATTGTTTGAAATTTTCCCTTGTCACACATATTTCCTTCGTACATTAATTGGCTTTCTTCATATTCAAGATACAATGTTTTTATTCAAATTCTGTAGACCTGTAATTTCTGAAATATTTACAAGAAAAAAAATCTCATCTTAAAAGCGTACGATCAAGTTAATATGGATCACATTTGACACTTCATGTTTCATGAAATATATTTTGGAAGACATTTTCAACACAAATAAAAAGAACCATAGGATTTTTTTTTAAACATGCCAAACTTAAGACCTATCCACTGCCAGTCCTACATTTAACCTACTTTAGATACAGAAAAGCACAGAATTAAATGTATGAGGAGTATTTTGTTAGGGAAGTAAACCTGATCCACAGAAACTCCTTTATGTTGCTTTATTTCTATATATAAGGGAGAATACTCCATGTTGACCTCTTCTTGGTGATTGTAACTACAGAAGTGGGACCCTTAAGTAGCTAAGTTTTATATCACTGTACCACTGTTTACAGAAGCTGCGAACCAGGTGATCATTGACAAGACGGAGACAAATCTGGTGGCTCTACGTCGTACCATCTACCTCACAATTCAGTCTAGTCTCGACTTCGAGGAGTGTGCTCACAAACTTCTCAAGATGGAACTCAAGCCTGGCCAGGAGGTAATATAGTACTGCCAGACAATATAGTACTGCCATATATCTGATCAAGCTAACCAGACAATATAGTACTGCCATATATCTGATCAAGCTAACCAGACAATATAGTACTGCCATATATCTGATCAAGCTAACCAGACACTGTACATCCACTTCGCTAGTCTTTTTACTCTTGGCGAAAGGCAAAAATGTTAGAAGCATGATTAGCTTAATATCAAGATGAGTAACTTAATAGTTCAGATATCCCTTTACAAGCAGGAGGCACATGGTCAGACATTAAGGCTAGTGTATTACACAGTACCCTCACTGTTACTGCTGCTGAGTCATTTCGGTACATATATAACAACTTTTTGTACATACGCTTACAGCATAGCAGAATTGACATCGATTTGTAGATAACTCGGAACATATTTTACACCTTTGTGTACATAAACTTCACTGGTCATTTGTCTGGTGAGGGTGACTAGTGTACATACCATACTAGTCACTGGTTGTGCTACATGAATCTTTTCACAATCCTTACTTACCAACCTGAAGAAAATGTTTAGAAATGCTGCTATATATATATGTACATACTAACAAAGACATATTGACCTTTAATAGTTGTTTATAGGACATTTAACCCTAGAGAATCACACCACCTGATTTCATGTTGTAGGTGGAATTGTGTAACATGGTGCTGGACTGTTGCGGGCAGCAGAGAACCTATGAAAAGTTCTTTGGTCTCTTGGCACAGGTATGTGTAGCACAATGGACATCTGTGGAAGATCCTGTTATTATACCCCCTGTGCATTTAAAGGGTGTGGTGGGGGTAAATTTGCTATGTAAGTGTATCAGTGTGTGCATCCATCAAGTGCACTGACACCATTTGTCTACCTATAATTTTACATTATTTCAGAGTTTGCCAATACATTGAGGGAGATCCTTGAAGGAATTGTTATGGAAAAAAAGGAATTGGGGAATAAAAAAATTGGCTTCAGACATTGAATTAATTAGGTTACTTATGCAGCTTATCAAATCTCTTATATTTGGGATATGATTTTTGTTGACAAGTTATATAAGCTATTTTTGATTTGTAAAGAGCCTTCCCAATCTGTTGATCGAGATTTGTATTGTCAATATTGTCTTACAACTATTTTTTCATATTGACAGAGATTCTGTATGATTAACAAGAAGTTCATAGGCCCATTCCAGGATATGTTCAAGGAGCAGTACGAAACTACACACCGTCTGGAGACCAATAAACTCCGCAATGTGGCCAAGTTCTTCTCCCACCTTCTACACACTGATGCCATTTCCTGGGGGGTAAGTGTGTCCTCACAGTAGAGGCTCATTCCAGAGATCGGAATAGGACACTGCATACTCTGTATTAAAGGAGGGATCTCAATTACATGTTATTTAAAAATTGATCCGTTGCCCCATAGCAACAGTCATGCAGGATCTCTATCTTTCTTTTCTCTCTTACTTCTTAGCGGTGTCTTGCTCGCCACACTTCTTCATATGACCCTGGCTGTTTCGAAAGAATGTTAAATACTGATGAAGAATAAATTCATAAACTTGATTATTATTTGTGAAAATTAATCAACAATGACACAAAATTCTATTGGAGTGGGGGCATTCATGTTTTAGCTTTGTATTTTACTGTTTAGTGTTGCCCCATCTGTCACAAAGGAGGTTCAGGAGACAGAATTATGTAGTAAATGTCTTTACCCTCAAGATTTTAAACTCCAGGTGCTGTCCTGTGTGAGACTGAATGAAGAGGACACAACCTCGGCCAGCAGGATCTTCATCAAGACCTTGTTCCAGGAACTCTCCGAGTATATGGGCCTTCCTAAGCTGAACAATCGGCTTCGGGACCCGTAAGTTACGACACTTTTCCATGTTTGATATGCTTGACTGATCATGTGTAGTTGTTATTGACCTACATGGCTTTGGTATGATGTAAAACTTCAAAGACACATGTGCTCTTATATGTGCGTCAAGTAATTTTTTTATGAGGATATGAAGAGATTTGAATAAACATTCACAAATTATTTGAATTACTAATTGATACTGCAAGTGAATAAGTGGAAAAATGTATTTCTTGTCAATTTCTGTGATTTATTGTAATGAGTTGACTAGAACGTTGACAGTTGTTTATCTCTGTGTCTCGGACATTTAAGTAAGTTATAGAAATCAGATAAAGCAAATTGGAATTGGTCTTTTTTAAACACACACAAAAAAACAACAAGTTAAAATGTTTTTGTATTTAAATTTTCAGGACTCTGGTCCAGTTCTTTGAGGGCATGATGCCACGTGACAACCCAAGGAACACCAGATTTGCTATTAATTTTTTCACCACTATCGGACTTGGGGGACTGACGTAAGTAATCTTTAAACACAGAAATAAAATCACTATTGTTATATTTTTATTTTTTTGAAAGTGTATGTTAATGAATTGCATTAAATTAAAAACTTGATATGTATGTAAACTTGCTGAAGTGAGATATTGAAATTAAAGTTGATTTTTGTTGCAAAAACTTTGTTTCTGCATAGATGATTTTGGTTTTTGTGAACTATAATTATCTAAAGCATTGGCATTTCTGTCAGTGATACTAGAACAATGACCACATGGCCGTATACTAGAACGTCACGATGAGGCAGTAAATATTGAGCCAAGATGACAGAATTGTAAGACTTGAGTGGTCCGAGAATACATGCTTTTGGCATTATTTGCTAAAAACGTTTGATCGTTGTTAACAAATGAATCTTAAATTCGTTTCCATTTCATATGGAATTTATAAAACTTTCCAGATATCACACATTTTTCATTTTGGTTTGTTTGAAGCTTGTTAAAATTAATTAAGTTTTTGTTTTGCTTTATCAAAATATTAATGTGAAGTGTAAACGCGTGCATGATTGTTTATGTATTGGATTATACGGTATAGCATATTTTGGAGGAAGTATTTTCTATCGTCATTTACGTACCTGTTACAGGGATGACCTTCGAGAACATCTTAAAAACAAGTCTAAACAGTTAATGCAGCAGAAGGCAGCTGAGGCTGACGAGGAATCATCATCCTCCTCTTCATCATCATCATCCTCATCATCTTCATCCTCTTCTTCCGATTCAAGTTCATCTTCTTCATCAGGTTAGTAGGAATTCATATGGCACTTTATAAATTACTATGATATTTTTTTGGAGATATTGGACATTAGTAAATATTTGTTATGATAGTTTCATAGTTTTTGTCTTACAACATTTTCTGATTGATCTGTTTCGCATCAAAGTTGAGACAAAGTCTGTATATTATTAGCGATAGCTGTGATGAAATTCTCCGGAATTATCTATATTAGATTCCTTTCAGGCTGAGAAAATCCTTTAAAGTAGTAAAGGTGCTTGCGTTTTCTTGACTGGTCCTGAACAAATTTTTACCAAGCATTGTGAAAAAATGTCTAAGGTTATTATCAACAAAACACTGTATACTGGGGAAACTCTCACACAGTCAAATATTACCCCTTCAATAGTAAAATTTAATGCCCTTCTCTTTCATGATGAATTCTCCCTTATTGCAGAGGGCAAAAAAGGTGAAAAATATAAACTGCACCAAACAGTATACAGTATTATTGTGTATGTTGTTTTTACATTTGCTTTATATCCAGACATTGTTTTCTGTAAAGATAATATTTTACTGGGATTTCTTTTGCAAGTATGTGTAATTTGGGACATCACGTGTGCGCTATAGTTAATTGACTTGCTTGGTCTATGGGATTTCATGGTAGGTTTAGACTGGGGTTTCTTTTACTCTTTTATGTGTACGTGTACGTGTTATCTATGAAGCTCACTTTGTAAAACTTTGTGTACAACCCCTAATTGTTTTCAAATTTCTATTGTAGAGAGCTCATCAGATGACGACAAACCTACAAAAAGGAAAAAGTCAACCAAGGATAGTAAGGGTAGGCAACAGAAAGAAAAGCAAGCCAGGAAAGAAAAAAGTCTTATCAATGCTAAACAACGAAAACAGAGAAACGATTCGTCGTCAGAGGAGGAAGAAGAAAAAATCAGGAAGGAAAATAGAAAGGAAAAAAAGGCAAAAGATACTCCAAGGAGTGTAAAGGATAAAAAAGAAGTAAACAGAAATATCAATAGGGGAAAGAGAGATGATTCAGAGGAGGTGATTATAGAACGACAGAACAACCGAGGGAGAGACTACCGTGAACATGCTGATGAAGGAAATAAGACAGGGAGGAGGGATAAAAAAGGCAGGAAGGATGATAGTGGCTCTGAGGATGATAGGAGAGTGAGGAGGGGAGGGAGCAATCAGAGAAATGATCGACAGGCAGGAAACGATCGCGGGAACGAAGGACGAAACGATCACGGGAAAGAGGGACGAAACGATCGCGGAAAAGGTAGAGAAGATAGTGATTCCGAGGAAGAGGAAGTGATGGATAGAAGTAGAAGTAACAGAAAAGATCGGTCTAGAACCAGCGATCCTGGACAAATAAGCGATCGACAACAGAGCAATGATAGACAGAGTAGAAAGGATCGACATAATAGGAATGATCGCCAGCAAAGTAATGATCGGGAAAGTAGAAACGATCGACTGCAAAGCAATGATCGGCGAAAAAGAAATGATCAGCAAGAAAATAATGAAAGACATAATAGAAATGATAGACAGGAAAAATATGAACGCCAGAATAGAAATGATCGACAAGAAAGTTTCGAAAGACAAAGTAAAAATAATCGGCAACAAAGTTATGATAGACAAAGTAGAAATGATCGGCAAGAAATTTACGAAAGACAAGGTAAAAATAATCGGCAACAAAGTAATGAGAGACAAAGTAGAAATGATCGGCAACAAAGTAATGAAAGACAAAGTAGAAATGATCGGCAACAAAGTTATGATAGACAAAGTAGAAATGATCGGCAACAAAGTAATGAAAGACAAAGTAGAAATGACAGGCAACGAAGACAGAGAGCGGACAGTGATTCTGATGAGGAAGAAATGAATACAAGTAAAATCGGGAGAAATGATGAAAGGCAGCAAAGAAATAAAAAACGAAGTAGACAGAATGAAAGTAATGATGAGGAAGTAACAGATAGAAAGAAAAGTAGAGGAAAAGAAAGTCAGAGGGATACAGAAAATGATAAAAGGCAGCAAAGGAATGAAAAACGTAGGCGAGAACAAAGTAGTAATTCAGAGGAGGAAGTGATTGAGCGAAGGAAAAGCAGTGGAAAAGCGAATCAAAGATATTCTGAAAAAGATGTCAGATCACAAAGGAATGATGGTAAGCAACAGCGGAGACAGCAAGCAGGCAGTGATTCTGAGGAGGAAATGGAAGACAGAAGGAAAAGTAAGGGTAATCTGAGAAAGAATGAAAACGATTCCAGGCAAAGAAATGAAAGGCAACCTGCTAGAAGGGGTGTTGGAAGTGAGTCTGAAGAAGAAATTGTAGATCGTAGAAATAGTAGGGGACAAGATAACTCGAGAATTAATAATGATAGAAGGCCACAGATGGATAAAAGACAAAGGAAGGAAGAAACTAGTGATTCAGAGGAAGAGGTTGCAGACAGAAGGAAATCTCAAGGAAAGGTTAAAAGTGTTGTAAATGACAAAAGGGAACCGCAGAAACATCGAGCAGCTGTAAGGAAGGAAGCCAGCAGTAGTAGTAGTAGCAGCAGCAGTGGCAGTGGTTCCAGTAGTAGTAGTGGTAGTAGTAGTAGTAGCTCCGACTCTGACTCCGACTCGGCTGAGGAAGTCGTGGTGGAACCCAAAAATAAGGATAAAATTAAGAGTAAACCAAAATCTACAAACGATACATATTTCGATCCGTGGGAAAGGCAAAAGAAAGGTAAAGACGAAAAACAGGAAAGCTCTGCAAAGGGAGCTAAATCTACCAAACATAACAGAAGTACAGAAAAAGTCGGCAAAAAGGCAAGGATGGATAGTTCTTCTGAGGAAAGTAGTGAGGAGGAAAGAGTAGTGGAACGGTACAGCAAGTCAGATAAGTCTAGAGAACAATCACGCAGAATTGATAGGATCGCTCAAGAAAGTGAAAGTGAGGAAGACGATCATCAAGACAAATATACTGAGAATGTGCAGAAAAAAGAGAGGCAATCCCATAACGGTGGAGAGGTGCAGAGGTCCAGAACAAGGGAACAGACTCGAGAGAAGCCAGAGAAAAAACAGCAACAGCAGGTGGAAAGTTCTGAAGAAGAAGTACAACACTTTGATAGGGGAGATAGGGCTCAAAAGAGGGACAAGAAGTCATTTGTAAGGGACGAGGAAGAAAGTTCATACACATCTCGCGAAAAATACAGGAAAAAAGAGGCATATTCAGATAGTGAGGAGGAGGAGGTGAACTACGGCAGGAAAGGGAAATCTAGTACTAAGTCCCGAGATACTTCACGGGACGAATCTATGGACAAATCTTATGAAAAATCAAGGAAAAAGGACCAACGTGAATCGCGGGAAGAGTACGAGGAAAGTCCTCGGAGATTGAATAGCAAATTAACAAAAAGTTCTCCTGTGGTAAAAAATAAGTCTGAAATTCAGGAACGATTGAGCAAGATTGCAAGTGGTGAGGATATGCAGGATTATAATCGTAGTGAAAGAGCAATAGACAAATACAATACACGCTCGCCCGACAGATCCAATAACAGGGACAGATACAAGAGTAGGTCTCGCTCTCCTGTACGTAGGGAGAGGGAGGTCGACAGCCACCGGGGATACGGGGGCAGAAGGAGGTGATATTAATAGCTTTTAGGTCCACGGTTGTCAAATATCTTACGGCAGTGTTTATATGAACCTCACGAAATGTTTCAAAAATATTTCGAAAACTGGAGACGGAAGGCTTTTTCATTTTAACGCTGATAGAAAATCTTTATACATACAGTCGTGTCGACAATAAATACTGCAACAAATGTTGATCAAGTGTTCTGGCAGAGAAGACCACAAGCTTCTCAGTGCTTTCAGGATAAATATTGTCTGTATTAGTTTGTGCCATTGTCAAACAAGTGAAAACTGAAACAACTGCTATAGATCTTATAGGTGTTTTTATGAAGAAGATACCATATTCCGGGAATTGTTTTGTCTGTCAAACGAGTGAAACCTGAAACAATTGCTATAGATCCTATAGGTAATTTTATTAGGTTTAAAATATTGTATACCTGGACATTTTCACTGCAGTTCATCTTTTCCCTTTTTTGCCATCCATAATGAAGGCAAATTAATCATGACAGTGATTTTTGAAAACAACATGATTTTTGTATTATATGTGAAGACTAGACTACTGAGTCTCCCACAACAAATATATAGTGGGTATATATAATTCTCCATATGGTTATACAGTGTACCTGTACTTTAAACTGAAGCTGTGCATAGCCATGCACCGGTGTGATAGCCCCAGTGTGTTATCTTATGGATGTTGTTGCGAGTGCTGTTTGAAATTGGGGATCACATTGGTGGCAGCATCGGTCATGATGGTTGACTGAGGGACAATGTTTACAAGCATTTCGTTTTGAATCTGGCATGTGCTGTCCTGTGTGAGGCGATGATCATAGTGCTAAATGTGGATGATGGGGATGATGGAAGTAGCGCCATTGGGGCCCAGAGGTGAACATTTGATAATGTGCTAAAATACGAGTGCTCAAAAATAAGTATATTTACAGTAACTGTTTTAATACCCTGAGGGTTTGAAATTAATTTCTTGTTCCAATAAAGCTATTAAGTGCAGTCAAACTAGAGCCATATTAATGGGTGTCCCAAATAGTTTGGCCCGAGTTGTTCCTTTATGAAACAGGGACGCACCTCGTGGTCTGATGTCTGTTACAAAAACTGTCAAGGCCTCCTTTAACATTTGCAGATCTGCTTGACTTGATTCCTGAAAATGTTACTTTAAAAAGTAAATCGACCTGTCTTTGTGGATAGGCAAAAGGCAGTACGTTATCAGAAATCTTAAGTTATTTTAAAGAACATAAAATGGGGAGTCTCGGTAAATTGAATCCAGTTTACAGGTTTTGGCCCAAAAGGTTGGCCATCATCAGAATCCTTTTTTTATTCATTTCAAAGAAATCAATTCCCTTAATTTTCAGTGCAGTTATGTCCTATGCGACCAAATCTTCATTGTAGAAACTCATACAATATACTTCCTAGGAGATTTAATGACCATTATATGCATGAACATGGAGAAATAAATTCATTTAAGATCATCTGTTATAGAATATAAACATTACAAAAAATATAAGTTGATCATTTGTGATTAAAGTGCCTTTCAGTTCTCTTGCAACTTTCATTTTGAAATTGCCCTCGTCATTCTACAGATATTAATCAGATAGTACAAGACTTTCCAAAACTAGAGTGTCGTTTTCATTGACCTAGTGGACAATTGTTTTGTAAACAACTTTATCACATAGTGAAAAAGTAGTTTGTACAAAACTTGACAAAAGAATAGTGTGTATTGTGAAGCATGGTTACCTCCCCTGTCTCAAGAAGTAAAAACATGTTTTCCAAATGAAAGTTATTAAACATGGCCCAACTAAACATGTGTCGGTCAACCAACCGTGATTCCCAATCAATACATTGAGACATAACTATGTTTTTGCTTGTTTGTTTGATAAAAAATATTTTATTTGTGTATTTAGAAGAAATTTAGGTTCGTATAGTATTTGTGGTACATTATTTTGACTGCATATTCTGATGTTAGAGAGAAATTTGTTTTATTTCATAACTTCTGAACATGTCAGAATACATGTTTAGCTATCGTACCCCAGATTGTTGTTTCCTTGCTGGAAAATAGCATTTCTTCTTCTACTTCCAATTTGACATATGATGAACAATTCCATAATTTGAAATGAAAAATTGAATTAAAATTTCAGAACTTGGATAATTGGTATACTGAAAGTATGGAAGAAAGTGGACAGATTCCTGTTCCTGGGTGCAAATACAGCTACCATAAAGGTTGAGCCCTTATTGTCACGATAATTTTTAATGCAAAATCGTGAGAGAGAAAAAATGTCCACTTTTATAGTACAGCATTTTGTATGGAATTAAACCTTATGTCCAGGTCTACGTTGTTGATAGATAGACCCTGTTAATTTATCATATTGATATTGTAGAGGTAATATAGAGCCACTTTTATTCATTGTTTTCCAAAAGGTTCTACTAGTTCAAACAGTTATTCATTTATGAAATACAGGTAAATTTATGAAATACAGGTAAACAGGTAAATTTATGAAATACAGGTAAACCTGTTTGTTAGATGAGAGCTGTGGCGAAAAGCTTGAGGCCTGATAAAGAAGAATTGATCCTTAAAAATCGTATACAGTTAAACCTTGATAAAACGCCTGTCTCATTTTTGTCCCACTTTGCTTGCTGCTAACATATTTCCAGGTTCCAATTATCCTTAACAGTTCCTGTATATATGTCTCTCTATATATCCCAAACCATTTCATAATGTTGAATTTTGCTGGACAAATGATGGACATACAAACAAGGTTTTACTGTATTTAAAGATAAACTGATTGTTTCATGTAACAAAATCAGGTAATATTAGTGCTAATTTAGACTTTCTGCAGCGTAGCTGTTGTAAACGTACGGTTTCAGTGAAAGTCTAGACATACCAGGTTCCAATGTTGTTTTATATAATGTATTTTTTTCCATCTTTTTTCTCCTTTTGTTCAAAGAATTGAATGCATGAGAGGTTTGAATGATATACACAATGTATATTATATAACGTGATGCAAGGTTTATATATCAAGTCATGTTAGTGCTAAGACCTCAACTTTCTGTAGCACTGGCGTTACATTTGGTCAAGTTTGGGGTCGAGAGCAAAAGACTATACATAAGAGGTTTGTATGTTATTTTATATTGTCTTTACTACTTCTGTTACCTTTTGTTTGGGTTTATCCCTTTCGACCCTATGTAGCTTTAGTAGACTCGACCATGCATTGATCTGGATGAGTCCATTATAGTCTATAGCGGTGAAAGGGTTAAGAGTCGAGTGCCGAGTGAAGAAGTTGTTTGAATGATACACATTATATTAATGTTATGCAAGGTTTCGGTGCCTAATGACCAAGGTTCCTTCAGATCTCCAGTACTGATGTTCTGATTTGTGAAATATTTAGGTTAGCATGTTTGTCAGGTAATGGTATGGGTGTCCGATAATAGAATGGGTGTTTATGGTATATTTTTGTGTGAATAAGGAAATGATAATGTAAATGAATTATTTTGCTGCAAGGTCTAAAAACTGTAAACTTGATTATGCTATTGTATGAATGTTACTGAAAATGGTATAAAAAAGTGATTTTTTTTGCTACGAAGGTGAGCGAAAAAATAAATAAATAAGATAACAAAAAAATGGTGATGCATAGAAAATTGTCTTTTTGTTGTTTTTCACCCTTGTCTACAAAACATAAATATGGACAAAGGGAAGCAGTTTTTATGAAAAAAGATTTTTTCGAGAGTGCGAGTTGATCAAGGGCAGAATATGTTCTCCTTTTGCCACAATATATAAGGAATAGTACAGACGAAATTAAGACACTTCTTTTTAAATTATTTCTGTCCCACTGCACTGTAGTTTTTAGCTTGCCTGTGAGCTTGCGGAACTGTCGGTTGTTTTCCGTCCGTCAACTTCTATGAACTACTTCTGGAGGACCTAGGGTTATGATATATGGCCAGTAGGTACCTTGGACAGAGTGCTATAAAGGTTCCTCAAATAAAAGGCCTTGACCTACTTTCGAGGTCACGGGGATTTATAAGAGTGTTGGCACGTGACAGGCATGTATTGTTGTGCCCTTCGGTACGGTAATCGTTTCTATTTTCACACAAACAGCTAACAGTCCTACCTTATACGGTCATACAGGTGAAGGTAACGGGTGAATTTCCTATCAAACCCAGGAATTTTAATTGTACGACGACAATAATATTTTATGGGGAATTTTGGTTCCTTCAGCTTTGAACAAAAAAAATCACATAACAGAAGTTATGAAATGCAGAGGGAATTTTCAATTTTCATTTCCCTGGCATAAGGTAGACATTTCATTTTGCTTAAGATGAAGGGTACCAAGAAATTAATATCCTTTTGTCTCTCTTGTGAAAAATTTAGAAATATTCCATAAAAATCATGCTGCCATACATTTCGCAGAATTGTAGCTGATCAAAATTGGAATGTTTGAAAGTAGAAAAATCAAGAGAACTGCGAGGGACAAACTCGGGACCTCTACATTGCATAGTCTACACCTTACTATGTTGCCATACTAGAATTATAAAAAGCTCAGCATTAAAATGAAGTCCAATTTACAAGTGTTAAGATAAGAGCACATGATAAATGAGACAGTAGGAGTTCCCCTAAGCAGGAATTGGTCCTTTTGGTTGCTTCATCTTCTTCATAGAAGGGAGATTACTCCCAGTATATATATATAAAAAAATTAGTGGAACTCTTCTTTATGATTATAACTGAAGCAGTGGTACCCATGACCTTAAAAATACTCACGCTTTAAGATTGTCTGCTAAAAGGCCGTAAAAGCGGACGTATAAGCATCAAAATCAATAATACATGGATATGTTTTCTGTACCTGCCTGAATGCAATATGAATTCGTATGAAAGTAGCATATGAAAAAAAGAGCGGAGACAAAGACGGATAAATATCTGATTTTTATTTCATCAGTAAATATAACCACATATAGTGTCTGACATATGTGAGTAACATTCCTACAAAGAGCCTGATAGTAAGTTATGCCCATGTCTTCGTTAAGCAGTGCGAGCTAACCTGGTTGTAAATATTTAACAGAGTTGCATTATACACTGCATGACTTGGTATTATTGCAAATTGAAGAGACGGAACAATAATTCTTAAAGGGAAAAATTTCAGTCATCTTTTCCTACCTTGGACTGTTATGTCCCTTTATAAATCTCGACAGCCAAAATTTGCTTTTTTTTTGTTAAAAAGTCTTTTCCATAAAGAAAAAAAGTTACCATCAAAGAAAAATTTGTAGCCAACATTTGAGATGAGGTATAATATTGTACAAATAATCTCTTGAGAGGAATTCTATTCCAGCTAACACACCTAAGCCAATATATAATTACTGAATGAAATCAGTCTTTTATCATGGAAACTATCATGGTGACTGAAATAATTCATGGTCAAAATAAAGTTCCGAATATGTAATAAAATATTCAGCAAAATTATACACTTGATAAAGTAATCGACTGATTTGATCAAAATGTTTTGCGCTAACTTATTTTGTTAACTTAAATAACAGTCTGTAGAGGATTTGAAATACAAACATGTAGGGAAACATCCTATTTGAAATAAGCAAAGTGATTTATTTTTATGAAAATAAAGTACTTTCAGTACATGTGTACATAATTTGAGTGAATATTTATGAGTTAAGAAACATTGAAAGTATGAAAAAACAATTTAAACCAAATTTCATTTATAAGATGGTAGCTCATTATTCTGGAAGTTTTGTAAACCTTCCTCCTAAACGAAACCCAAATTTCAGGCAACAAATTGATGGAATCCAAAGGCACTGATATAACCAGAAAAGCTTGATCAACAATTTCTGCCCAAAGCTGTAAACAAAAGTGATTATTAAGAGGAAAAGTATTTTGGAAATTTGTTGACGTTCATTTTTTCCCCATAGAAGTTCAAAATGACCATGAACACTAAATGTGGTTGTCTTGGATACCTATCTATGATATTATACAGGTATGCTATTTATATGCATATTATGTAGTCACAAACGGATGAATTATGTTTCATATAACACTGCCTGTATAATCGTTACATCACTGCTTTGTATATACTCAATAATAAGAAAGATAAAAGCAATTAATTTGGTTGTGAATATGATTCTGTGAATTCAAAAATGGCAATATCGTAGCAGGTCCATTCTCAGTACAGCACCCAGTCAGAGCCGAGTCTGGCTCAATGATGAGGTCAAGGGCAGGGATGGGTTCTATTCCGTAATGTTAAAAAACTTATTCAGACAAAAAATATCAATAAATATGAACTCGCTGACTAAATACAATTAAACTATACAATATTTATCACCTATACATATTTAACAACATGTAAATTAATATAATAATAATAATAATATGCAGAGTAACATCTACAGCTCGTTACAACTCTATGCCACCATCGCCATAGTAACGAGGCAGAAGTAGTGTCGTTATATAATATAAACCAGACAAAGCATTTGAACACACACTGTCGACCCCCATCTGTCCTCCATCTTCTCAGCACTCGGAGTGTTGCCATAGTAACTATGTGTCGTCGACAAAGACACATCTGTTCGTGCGACATTGGTATAAACATCTATATATGGAAGAGAGTCCGGCATCGGGAGATACATTCACAAGACAAAATAATATCCACGATCTGACCAACAAAATGATGCACAGGTACACAACAAAACAAATACAATGTCATATTACGACCGTCCAATGATAAGATACTGTCAATAAATCAAATAAAACTCTCAATTTGTAAGGGGTAGGCTAGCTGTGAGGGGCTCGGTAGCACTATAATCTGGTTACCGGTCATATGTAAAAGTCTGATAAATCTTTGCATAGATTAAATATCAGAGCATCAAAATGGATTTAAATCAATTATATATTAAAAGGGTTTTTCACCATCGTTCTCATGTTCAATGATACATAAAATGCCAATCTTGTTCGTCACTTGTTTATCGTAACAGCGAGAAGAAGTATTGGCCAATAAAAATTGACCGAAACATTCAAATTTGAGAAGCTCTCTTCCCAAAAAAATTGCCAGCTGGCCAATCAGATCTGTCGTTTTCATAAACACTGCAACAAGGCACATACAATACCGATTGTATCTACCAGCTTTAACACTGGATACCTCTATCCATAGCAACCTATTACAGGTAGGCTACCGGATAGCTATCACCTGTATAACTCAATAATATCAGCATTAAATAATCGAAAAGGGGGAAAAACGGAGCAAGGCTACTACAACTGTTAAACAATAATTGTAACTCTACGGGAGTTGCACAGATTCTATACTGTTATAGAAAAAGCAGTTAAACTCTACGGGAGTTGCACAGATTCTATACGTGCGTATAGAAAAAGCAGTTGATGACTTGTATAATGTAAAGCTGAATTTTGCACAAAAAACTAAAATCTTTTTCATTGGTTACATTTGTATATGAACTCAAATGTTAGCGACGTTATCATCGACAGTAGAGGACCTATACAGACGCCTCTGTAACCACGGCGATGCGCAGTAGTCGTATATTACAGTAGATATTGCCCTACGTTCCATCCTTCCATTTCACTGTTCTTGACGATTCTCTGTCTCCATGGTAACATGAGTTATGAAACTCGTAATTAATGTCCAAAGACATGCGGGGAAACATTTGTGCCCTTAATTGTCTTTGAATGACCTTGGCATCTCTTTCTGTTGTCGTTAAATCTCCTTGGTTTCTCCCTCCTTCCTTCCAAAATTACCCATTTGTGGTAAGTCAGTTATGGTACAGAGAGGTCACAAGGTCAAATTCACATTTGTTTTTTATGGCTTCACTTTACCACTTTGACCAATCATAATCTTTGTTACAAAGTTCACTATGGCCGATGCAGGCTGTTCAGGATCAACCTCGGCAAACAAGTGGCAAGCGTTGTCTGAATGGCCACCAGACTTCCGTGCGACAAAGCCGAACACTCTGAAATAAAAAATATATTTTTGAATAACTTTATCCTGGATAATCCATAAAAACAAAAAATTCGGCCAGGAACCCAATGTGATTCAGACATAATTGAGCATGTTTCACTATGACCTGAATTTTATAGAAAATTCAAAATAAATATTTTAAATGAGCTATCATTTCTTTTGGAGATTTATAAAATCAGAAAAAAACTATGGACAGTTGTGAAATTCACTTCCATTTGTAGAGAAATACATGATTTGAGATTGAATAATTCAGCCTTTGGTAAGATTCAAATGTGACTCTATGGGTGAATTGGTTAAAATGATAATGTTGTTGCAGTTATTTTAAAAACAGCTTGTAATCAATATTAGACATCCATGTACATTGTGTATATATGTGCTTACCTTGCTTCCATCAGAGCGCCAGTTTCTGTCTCTCTCTTCCATCTGAAAACAAAAATGGCAAAATGTAATTTGCATTGAATTAGAAATGACATGAATATAACAGAAATTGATTTAGAAATTCAAAAGAACAAATAACCATTGAGTCTAAAATTCAAGCTTGATATCGGTATTTAATTCATTCAACTCTGAAAACACATTTGAACTCTACCAATTCAAAGGTTGGAATAGTTTATTATCAAATTTTAGGGTTGAATGAGTTAAGGCTTAAAGCCTTATCATTTTCTGGGGTTAACAGGTCAGTGATTTCAATCCTTAACATTATAGGTAGCACAAGTACAGCATACTACTCAAAGAAAAAAGGCTTTTGTACATGAGCTCGAGGTGACCTTGACAAGGACACTTACTTGCGACCATCAGGGTCCATACCACAGTACGTGACAGCGGCTACAGGGTAGTGTCGGCGGAAAAATAATCTTTAAAGAGAGAAACAGAAGTTTAATGATATACTTCCGAATAAAGGCAATATCACAAAACATTTGTCCTAAATGGATGGAGATTAAGTAAAATGTGAAGAAATAAGTTCCCTATTGAATTTGAATTTAGAAAATGAAAGTAGTTTTAATGTATTTATTTAAATCAACGTAACTATTTTAAGAGACACGCCTTAAATTTACATTGTTATGACTCTAGTGCTCTGCCGAATTCTCTTTCCACAATGAAATGGAATCTAACTTCATTTTTTTTTCTTTTTTTTTTTTCTATTGAATTCAAAATGACAAGAATAAATTCAACAATTTTTTTTTTTATGTGAACTATTAGACTAGATATAAATTGTAGCTCTGTTTACTTACTTTCTTTGGTTGTCTGTGAGGGTGATACCCTGGTTGGACACCTTGAAGTGGACCACTGTTGTCTTGGGTGATGGCTGCGTGTCAAAGGTCACCTTCATTGCCCTGGCAACAGCCTGGGGACCGGTTAGTGACTCCGTATCCACAGTATTCAGGAACAAAACATTACAAGCTGTGGAGATATGAACAGGTAAATATAACCTAACTGCAGTAAAATATTTAATTTTGGTCGGCATCATTCATTGACTTTCACTTAATGTGGAAAAAATCTAAACCCAGAATTGAAGACATCACTTTATTTTGAATAACGAATGCTCGTTTGCGTATTGCTGCGTGGAGGTGATGTTAAAGACTTACCTGCCCCCTGAGCCAGGAGGGCGGCGGCAGAACTCGGCAGTTCAGACTTCGAAGAGCTGTCCATTGTACTACTTCCATCCATCGCCATAGTTTCTGTACATAGATGACAAATACAGAAAATCAGCAAAAACCAATTTTTACGAAAAAATAACAACAGTACATTTTGTTTGATATCATTAGTCATTTGTCCAAGTGTGAAACATTATATTAAAAGTGTGCCATTTTATTATTTTTCTATAAGACTGTCCTGACTTTCCTCAATAGGAGATGAGCCTCTACAGGTAAGTGGTCGGTCATATTGTTAGGCTAGGACAAAAGACCATCAGGATACGACCATATAGACATTTACCTCAAAACAGGCAAATTTCTTAAAGTTTGTTTTTGGTGATGGTCCTTTAATGGCAAGATAAAAAGAGGAAGCCACCTCAAAGCATTACTTTCACTTTCATGATAGAATCAAGCCAAGATATAGTTAACTATTGATTGAGGTCACCGAGTCATCCAGAACTGATAGATTGCTCAGATGTTCTTTTTGTGATCTCTGAATAGCAGACTTGGTATAACTGACTCCTAAAATGAGGGGTTTGCGATTGGTTGATTTGAGAATCATGTGATGATTTCTTACCTGCGTCAGGAAGCATGAGTTTACAAGGCAATGACAGTGGTGTATTAGAGTGCTGGTATACCAGAGACGCCAGACTCCCTGAAACAGATTTTTTTTGTTTTGTTAAAATACAGATGGAATCATCAGCTTTCTACGGAGATATGAACATTTTATGAACAAATAAAGTTTCACAAGCACAAATGGGAACATATGACCTTAAAAATTATACTTGTAATTTTTAGTAATTTTCCTTAAATTAGTACTACTTATATTTTGTAACTCTAAAATACTTTCTTGTGTACCTTGTTATCAATTCTTGTGTTCTTTCTATATGTCATTGGTACTTGTGTACCTTTTAAGTGTCATCATTATTTGTGTACTTTCTATATGTCATTGATTCTTTTGTACCTTCTATTAGATGTCATCATTTCTTGTGTAATTTCCAGGTGTCATCATTTCTGGTGAACCTTCTTTATGTCATCAAATAATTATCTCCTTATTAAAGCTATTGAAAAGATTTTTAGTGTAGACTTCTTTGGATGGGCTTACTACTGAGCATAAGAATCATGTATCTTAAATAAGACTCACCAAAGATAGGTTCGTTGTTACTGCCCCGTAACCGCACACCTTTGTGTGTGGGCTCTATGAGGAAGTGCCGGACAAGGTCGGCAGAGGGGTCACCAGTTGACTTGGTTTGGACATTGGCTGGGATATGTGCGACCTTGAGAGCGAGGCCAAACGCACCGGGGTATGAGTTACTGTCCCGGACGACAAACGAGCCAGGATGTTTATCCTTCAGCAGCACAATAGCTGTAACATAGCAGGTTTTTATTGATTCATTAGTTAAACATATTTCAATATAACTACAGGAAAATTTATGTGACTCTCAGGTGAACATTTTATGGTAATATTCATTGCATTGAAAAGACAATGATACATGTATTATCAATGATAAACATGTATAACAACAGGATAGATATCTCTGTGAACGAGAACCAATTACTGCAGCAAAAACAATTTTTGACTTTAACATGATTTGTAAGTAACAGATACAATGACATATCCAACTTACCATCCTCGCGTGTTATCTGAGGTTTGTACCAGTATTTCGACATGTCCTTGACAAACCGCGGTGTGGTGATGTGGGCAGGCTCTGATTCTACAACACAAGTATCACCATGGTAACATCCAATCACGGTTAATATACACAAGTATCACCATGGTAACATCCAATTACGGTTAATATATTCAAGTATCACCATGGTAACATCTAATCGTATTTCAGAATTACTTTAGTTACGTTTCATCATTTAATCATATTTAAGATATGACATGGCCAAAATCATATTACATTTGTATTAATTAAAATCAATAATATTTTACAAAAGGATTGTTTTTGAGTTTATATGCTACCTTACATTATAAATATGAATATATTATAAAAATTAAATTTGAGAAAAAGTAAACAAGAATTGTTTTACTGCCGTTACAGACAACCGAGATAAACATACCGGCCAGTGAGGAGATACTGCCTCGTCGTGATGTACCGAAGTAGAGGCTGGGTGAACTCTGACCTGTCATTGAGTGTGAGGTGGGGCTCATGGTACCCCCAACACTCAGCTGTTGGCGGAGTGTGTTCAGACTGCTCGGTGACGGCGGACTGTAACGATACAAAAACGTACACATTATAGTCAACAACAAGTCGGTTCATATGTCTCTCTAGCAGCTTGTCCATAGGACCAGAGCTTTTCTAGTGTTCTAAGCATTTGTAATTATTCCGTGCTCAACCCAGCTGTATAAATAGGTATATGTATATTTTGGAAGTAAACCTGTGAAAAACAACATCTATACTTACAATCCCTGGAGATTGGACAAACTGCTAAGCTATTGGTAAATAACATGAAAGACGACTTTCACTTATTGTTACCCCACTTGCTTTCGAGAGGGTGGGGCTGTGTGTGCTGTATAATAGTTGCTTTGTTAGTGAATTCATGTGTCTGTCTTAACAGATTCACTCCCCCCCCCCCCCAAAAAAAAATCAGGTATATCTATATGACACCTACTGACTATACTATAGTATAACGTATTTCTAAACTCAATATCTTTTCCCACCAGTTCAGGTACTCGAGTTTTAGACGACCGACCAAATTACTCTATAAAACAATCGATATACACAACAATATCATACCAGTAGATTAATTACCACAAAATGTACACACAGTTTTTCTGACAACCTACCAGATATTTGTGTGAACTGACCTGGTCTATCCGTCTATAAAGTAGATCTCACCGTCGGTATGTTTGTTCGAGTGATCACTGATGCATTAAACCATAAACTTACACACGTCACGGACCAAGTGTTCTTGTAACATATAAGCTTTTCTTATATTTTCAAATTAAACCTTTCATGTGACTGTGCAAAAGCCCAAGTAATTTGTTGACTTTAATCTTCTTGAGATCTTTTTGAATGCAAGCAAATAAAATTTTCATGAATTCATTTTTTATAGTGAAATAATCAATATTCCATATATGCTATGTGCAACTAAAACACTTTTAACAAGATAATTCACGGGATAATTGAAGCATTTATCTATTACCTACCCATTATCAACTAGTCGTCTATTTAATTTATTGCACTTCAGAATCTAAGACCAGGATGCAGTGGTGTTTTCTGAAGAAGTGTGGTGGGATCTATTTTACTGAAAATTGATAAAATCCTGAAAAATCTTTTTTCTGATAAAAATGGGCAATTTTAAAATCCAGAAAACCTGAACTTCTGCTTCAAATTGAATTTCTTCTTAACTATATTTCAGTAAAATCACCAAAAATCTGTGAAATTGTCAAGAAGTTTTAACAGATAATAGGATGAATCTATTCATACAGCTACAGAATCAATAATTCGAAGGAAATTTTTCACACGACTAGAGAATGAATAATTTCCAATCTTCCCCTACATTCTGTCAATTTGAACTGAATCTAAATGAAACATCACAACAATTAAGGAAATTAAGGTTAAAGTTCTACTTTCTTCACGAGTAAAGTTGGGTAAACATTTTACTAACACAGATCACTGAACACCGTATAAACAAATTGTGGTTTTCTGGTATAGTACCTAATGCTATAAAGTATACACAAAGATTTCCATATGAGTAAAAAATCATCGTTATGTCTTAGATAAGATAAAATTGAGAAAAACATTGATTGAAAATTGTTACCTGTTAGTGGAAGGCATTATATTCCCTCATATTGTATATTTTGAGTGAACGAGACACAGAAAGTTTTAGGTGGTCTACACTCCTAGCAGTCGACACTATGACACTACACCCTTGAAGTGAATCATTACATATATACACAAACCCTAGAGGCACGACTCAAGACTGTAACAGGCTAACCTCCAGATCTGTATCGACATAGCTCTATGTCAACGACTCAATAGAAGGTTTTAGTTTTAAAGACAACTGTTAAATGGAGATAGAAGCCCCGAACAAGAATTTGTGTCATTTAAACAGAGGACAGGTAATCTTGGACACAAAGATCTACACATCAATACTTTCGTGCGAGCTTCCTGTCTTTTAATGTCCCTGACTGGGCTATTGACAACAGTGGCAATGACAAACGGACGACCCCCGGGGTCGTTTGCTGTCATATTGTACACATACTAAACAGATATGTTACCTGTGCTGAAGTAGAGGCCAGCACAGGTAAGCACAGGTAGAGAAATTGTCACCAACAGAATAACGCCCCTTCATCAACCCCTGTTCCAACATTAGCATGTTATCGTGGTCAAATGTGGGAGAGTTTCTAGGTACAGTCATACATTTCCTATGTAGGTATTCGTAGGTATTCCTGTACAGGTATATGCATAAACTACATCAGCTAATTTATGGTAATTGATTTCAACCCTTGACCCTACTTACCCCAAGTCACAAAGTAAAAGGACCTGTTTCTTTGATGTGAGGTAATACAATTTATTATTGTCTTTGGTGAAGAAACAAGGTACGCTTTAACTTTCCATTATGCCTTAGATAATCGCTTCTCCTCAAATAGCCATTTATAGGTAAACGGGCCGTTAATAGATTGGCACATCAATGTGTAATCCAACACGCTGCTTAGAAATATGTCTTGTTCAAGTAAAATTACACATGTCTTCCTTCTAGAACTTTTGAGTGTGTCTTACTCATCTGTTTTTCTTTTCTTCTTTTTCTTTTTTATTCACAGTCCCCACTATATGTTTATAATCTTTATTTTTATTTATTTATGGTATTTGTAGTAAACCCTTTCCCATTGATATGTTTAGGGATTGAAAAGCATGTTCCAACATTCCTAATAAATCTACTTCATTTCTAATGATTTCGTACACATACCTACCAGCTGGGGATTTCAGGTGAAGAAGTTATATCCACAAGATGTCGTATAACGCTACAATTCGGCACAGGGAAATACTGAGATTTGAACATTCTATAACTGGAGTCTAATAACTCTTCCTTGTTCCTTCTTATAACTATATTGGTAGTCATTTATCAATGGTGGTTTTCACAAATTCTGCTTTATAACTTATTTTACTTGGAGTCTGTTTTACCTGATAAGCTAATCAATTAGCCAAACTTTCTGATGTTTTGTAAATATTTTAAAAATTAAACCCATTTTGCCTGTCTTGTTGTTAGATGAGTACAGAATGTTGATACATGTAAATTACTTAAAATTTCAAAATATTTTTATAAAAGTCTTCGATTAAATACCGACCTTCACTATTTAAAAGACATGCCTACAATAATTATCCTTAACAGGATACTAAACATTATGTAACATTTAAACTTCCCCAAAATATGTAAATTTATGTAAATTTATGGAGGGTTTCAAGTTTCACGTGTCCCGGTGATTTTTTTCTTCATATTTGTATGAACTGATATTGTGGAACTCTTCTGATCATGGAGATAGAAAAGTGTGTTCAAAGTTAATGACCCATTTCCCTATACATAGGTATTTTTTCATTTTTTGAAGAACTTGGTCAGTGAGATACAATTGATTGACTTCCTGTCAGGGATGTTTTTAGAAACACTGGATATGTGACAGAAACAATAAAACAAACATTGACAGACCCTGTCAGTCCTTGACTGTCCCCCGAAGACAAACTGGTCATTTGTCCATCCTGACAGCTGATGTTATCTGTATTGACAGCTTCTGGGTATATCAGACATTTACATGACCAACTTTTGTAATGGATGTGTTTGAACCTGTCACGACCTACACTAATTATATCAACACAACAATAAAATATACTAATATAATCTATTTATATGACAAAAGGTCTGTGGGGCCTGTATAGAAACTTGTTTTATTTCATCCCGAAATAAATATAAATGTCCGTGTTTGCTTTCAACACTATCTATAATGTATCCTATGTAGTTATCTAATTAGATAGGTGCATGTGCCAGGCAAACTACAAAATGAATTTCATTAGAAAGAATCTTGAAAATAATACATTACTCATGTATCACACACTACGTTTTATGTAAATTATTATTAAATTTTACATAGATCTGTCAGATGGTTTGGCTTTCGTTCAACATGTAAAGATCATCTCTTACAAAGGGAGGTAATCACAAAGGGAGGTAACTACTCTGTACTTTATAGGTAAGAAATAACTACCTTGTGGGTGTCCTGGCCATGGAGCCACCAGGGGAGACCATCCTAGGGCTGGTGTCCACATGGAGGGCGTGGCTGGCATCTTGTGAGGACACACTCCCAGACTGGTTGCGCACTCCGGTGTGGTATTCCTGTTGGTACTGGTACTGCTACAAAACAGCATGGTTCGTTAGAAGTTACAATTTACTGTATATATAAATAGCTAAAGGAACAGGAGGATATAATAATAGTAAGGTGAGATAAATGATATCAAAAATTAAACTAAATACTGAACTAAAGCAATATACACTCTCACTTGAACTCATTCACCCCTAAAGACACATTTCAACTCTTCCAATTCAAAGGTAGGAAAAGTTCATTATGAAAGTTCAGGGGTGAATGAGTTTACTGCTGGACTGCAATGTTGGTGAAAGTTAGTAAGAGGGCAAGTTTGAATACCAGCTTATTAATAAGGTAAAGCAAATGGACGTACTAGCTTTATTGTCATTGAATGCAAAGGGGTGGTGAAGGGTGGGGCAGTGGTGGGGGTTGGGCAGTGGTGGGAAGGGGAGAACACTGATTTAATAGGTCATCTAGGACCATTACAGGGAAATATTGTAATGTAATCCGCAAGTCTTAAAGAAAGTGGAAGGGAAATCAATTAAGGGATATTTGATACAATACAATTTTTCATTGGACCTATATTCTTTTCTTCCTAACCCACTGTGGAAAGGCACTAGGTGATACTTTGCCCAGTGATCCATTTTACAAACATTCTTGAACTTCAGAACATTCCTTATCCTCAGTTTTTCTATAGGAAAGCAACATCAGAGTTAGAGAACTTAATTCAGTAATGCTTTCATAAGGAACACTGTATACTTGGAAATATTCACGCCAGGTTAACTTTCGCCCTCTGTAATGAGGACAGATTATCCTTGGAGATAAAGTCAGTAAACAACTAGTCAAATGTACTGTGATGGCAACACTCGTAAAGGGCGAAAGGTTCCTGGTATTGTGTGTTTTACGGTTATTGGTAAACAGTGAAATATTCCTGGTATACAGTATTTTAGGGTAAGTAATTCCCTGAAGTTAACAAATGTTCGTGAAACTGGGGAGAGGTACTAACCTGATGTTGTGAGTGTTGTTGTTGTGGCTGTTGCTGCTGATGCTGCTGTTGCTGAAACTGTTGTTGTTGTTGTTGTTGTTGGATAACCTGTTGTTGATGTTGCTGTTGTTGATGATGCTGGTGTTGATGTTGTTGCTGCTGCATCTGTTGAGGCTGCTGATGCTGAAGCTGCATAATTTTTAATTTTAACAAATTAATCTGCTGATGTTGGATCATGTGTTGTTGGTGTTGCTGAGTCGTGTGATGCTGGGACGACGTCGTCGACGACATCGTGTTGAACGGGCTCGTCATACTGCCAGCTGAGGACGAAACAACATCTCCCCGTGTAAATCTGGTGTTTTACGATCACTGCTGGAAATTGTTTACTTAACACACACTTCCGTGTTCATCACTTACATTTCATTATGGCCAGGTTATAAAAACACCAAATCAATGAGAAAAACTTCAATTAGGAGATTTTGTATAACATTTCAAATAAGAGGTGACTTCATCAGATATAAATTATCTTGAACCTGCAAACAGCTGTTTTTCTAAGCCAATGTGCAGAAAAAAACAAATCATTTCTAAGGTTGGAGATCCTGAAAAATTATTATATATCAAAATCTTGTTCCTGAAATGTAAATGATCAACTGTTGTGTGAAAAACAAGAATTGATTTTTTTTTTGGATTAAATTTCTATTTGTTCACCTAAATCTATCATCATTTCCCCTGTAATATCAACCCTTAAACATGCCCATCCCACATTAATTGATTTTTTTTTTGGATTAATTTTCATGCCAGACATAATTAAAATTGAATGATTTGAGAAATGTGTTATAAATGTAAACATTCAATTAACTTCACTTGCAGGATTGAATACATGCATATGTGATTTATCATTTACAGTGCAGGGACAACTGTGTGACCAAAATCATTCCATGCGACAAGTGAGAGTTATCTCCCTTAGACACAAAATTCAACAACAGAAAAGACTGTTTCAATGGAAATATTTTTCTCTACTATTTATTTCTAATAGTTCTTGCTTAGAAATAAACTACTGTGAATCATCTTCCGATAATATTTGAAAATTAAACTGCACATGATTATTTGGGATTTATACATATATTCGGTGTATTTCTTCTCCACATTTTCCAATTTAACTACTTTAGTTTCATGGTCCTAAATTTTTCTGGCTGCAACAAATAAAAAGAGAAAAAAAGGCTCAAGAAATAAACATATGCCAATTTATAATGAAGCTAAAAGCCATTTACATTTTAATCTTGGTGACTTAAAGATTTAAAAATAGCATTTTCTTTTCCCTTTATATATTTTTTCGAAGTTTTTAGTGCTCGTTGTCATGACAATACCTGATCGCCTGAGGCCCCCGACATCTTCAGGGATGGAAGCATAAAGCGGGTCGGAGCCACGACAAATCTGTCGCGCGACCATATTATTGTAGGCCTCATCTTTGTCATAGTTAGCGAACGGTGAAGTGGGCGACATTGTCGGCGTGGGCGCTACAGTAGCCATGGCGACAAGAGGAGAAGGCAAGATGCATAAGATTTAGTACGAACAAAATGCAGGCTACATAACACTTAAGTGTTGAGAGTGGATTTACTTCAGCTAACCTGGAGTTAGTAATAACAAAGATAGGTTCTACAACATTCTATATACAATATATCAATTTAGAATTAAACCTGTCGTTATAAACCACCTTATTAGCAGAAAACACTGTTGTTTTAAGATTTCTACATTATTTTGTACAAAGTGGTCAATAAAGACTGGCTAAAAATCTTTAAACAATGTTTCACCAACTAAGACTGGTGCATAGTGCATTTTAAACATTTACTGAAGAGATATTCTCTTTCTCATAATTCATCTTGAAACAGACTGAAGTCTTATTGATGAAATCATTATCGTAAACTATGATAATTATTGAGTTCAAATTAATTTTTAATTTTAACAAATTAATCTACACTACCATTCACCCTTTTGTTTCCAATGTGACCAATCAAAATCTCACAAGAAATTGAAAACACGACTATGAATAATATTCAAAAATGATTTTTTTTTCTTTCTTCAAATTTGAAGTATTTATTCCGTCTTTGCGTATTGCAGAGTTATCTTCTCTTGTGAGCAGGTATTGATTGTTATGTCATCTGTTTGTGTGAGAAAATTACGCAGTTTTCTCAAAAATTGATGATGTTACTCTCACAAACAAATGACGTAACAATTAATACCTGCTCACAAGAGCAGATAACTCTGCGTTACGAAAAGACGGAATGGGCATTATATCCCGTACATTTTGAAAGTTCATGAGAAATGATAGGTCACTTGGTGATAAGTGCAGAAATATCTCGTGACAATAAGATCCATGGCCGTCAGGATAAACTACAATAACGACTAAATTAAAACAAGCAAACAAACAGATGATATGAAGAAGCAAAGGAGACTTAAGCCCAACACTTGTTATATTCGCAAATAGAAAAAATAAAAGCAACAAAAACTAGTGTTTCTTTGGCTACGGTGTAATAACGATTTTGTTTTTGATAGTTTTGTAAAGTACCAGTGCTCTTTTACAGATACAGCTGTAAAGTGTGTAAAAATTCAAAACGGCTATGAAGCTGTCTTATTCACTTTCCTTATAAATGGAGTAGATAACACATTCAAATAATTATACATTCATCGAAGCCTGAATACTTCTGATTTTTTCAAACTATCAAAATGTTGGCTTTTTCTTTACTTTTTCAAATATTTCTATATCTTATCTACATGTCAAAAAAGAAATCTCCCAATTTTTGTCTTTTGTCCCAAAAGTGATGATAATGAATGACGTTTTAGTTTTCCCAAGTAACTAAATTTTTTACTGCATGCAAGTTTCATTCAAAGAAGAATTTTAAATACTAGAGGAAGTTAATTTGCAAATTATCTGATGAAAGAAATGAAACTATATGCACACAGAAACAAAACTACAAACATCACAGCTGACATGTTGGTGGGGGTGGGGGGGTTGTCTTTTACAATTTCTAGCAGAAGGGATTCTTACTACTGACTAATGATGAATGCTTCAGACGTCTGAGTTCTGGTTCAGACGTCTAGTCCTCAGTATCTATGGGAGCGATAGGATGTCCGTCTCAGACTCAGTTTATTGAAATCTTTGTCATCTTAACGAGATACAAGGTACAATATTTGATTGAAAAAAATCAATTGTTGCAGCATGAAAATAGACATCTTCTTAATTTTTCAGTTTTTTAAACTAATAAGTTCTCAGCAGTTTATCTATACAATTTATTTTTTATTTTTATGGACTTTTAGAAACATTTCCCCCGGAAAAAGTCATAAGTGTTTTTTATATGCTTACCTGGCAGAAAGCAGCCCAAACAGTCTTGATTTCTCAGAAAGTCTGCTAATTAACTTGTTATGAACAATATCCTAACTTAAGGATCATATTTCTATTTTCTGGAGAAAAATGTTATTTGAAAAACTATTTATCACATAATGCACTGTGTTATCCAGTGAATATACCCATGTCATATTTGTTTGCGTATTAACCCATGTAATATGACCTATCAGCCCTGTGATTAGTTGTAAGTTTCAATTGTTTCAATTGTGACGTCACACCTAGGCCAAGTACATGACGTCACAGACTTACGCCAGAGGCTCGCTAAATTGAAAAATTCTTACACTTATTTCATAAATCTCATATGAAATGGAAACTCATGTAAGATCCTATATTTATGTATTTGTGATACTTAAAATTTTCGAAATCTAGTTACATAACAAATGATTCAGTCTTTCTACTGACAAACAAGATGAAGAAAATACATCTGGACAATGTTTCGTTTGATTTGTTTAATATTGTAATAGATGTTAAGTGCCACCAACACAAACTTGTACAGATACAAAATCCAAAAAAAGCCAAGTTAATGAGTGAAACACAAAAATACCACTAAAACCGTCACCAAAGTGCAACATATCATGCCTTTTCCCTTCCCATAATCCCTTGTCCAAAATGGCTACTGACTGACAGAACTCATCAGTCAAACTTTGGACGATATCATTAGCAAAACACCGAGTAGTAATAAATAAAGCAAACGGAAAATGTAAAACTTGAACTGAAATAAAAACAGAAAAACAACTGGTGAGGATGAAGAACAAAAAAAGAGAATGAAATGAAAATGTTACCTTGATTATAATATGGAGTCCTGGGGGACACAGGGAATGGTGGAGTTGCTATGGAAACCGCAGGCAAAACAAAAACAAAACCACAATAATTACCAACCAAAAACCATGAAACATAAATGCAGAAATGAAAATAACACATAAGCCATCACATTTTCTCATAGCGCCAGAAACACAAGCACATCCAACAACATATAAGGGAGGCAACTATTATTTTTTTGATAATAACTATATAATAGAGTTGCATCCCTTTTCAAATAAAATCTGAAAGGAAAAATGTTCACTTTCTGTACCACCCAAAGTGAATAAGCAAACAATTCCAAATATTTTTTTTGCTTTTTTTTTGCCTTTTATATTTTTGTTTTTCAATATTGCTTTCAGCGAAATTTCAAAAATCCTTTCACAATTCATTTTCTTACCCTAGTTTAAAATTAAAAAAAGTTTGCTTTCAGACTATGTTCAAGTGTACAACACCACCACATCAAAACATCAAATAATCATACATCATATTAGAAAACATCTCAATAATTACATATATATTCACAAATGTTAACAACCAGCAATGCATGTATAAACATCATAAAATTCCACACCCATTACAACAGAGTCAAATTGACATTTTACAACATATATACAATCACCAACATTCAGGTTTAACTACTTTGATATTTTCTTGATAATTTACGGTATAATTATGAATAATTTAATTTGCGCAAATATCTAATTGTTATGACTGTGTTTAAACTCATCGACCCCTGAATACACATTTGAACTCTTCCAATTCGAAGGTTTGAATAAGCCATTATGAAATTTTAGGGGTGAATGAGTTAAATCACTTCTTTGCAGGAATTCTATTTATAAAATATTAAAATAACAGAAGCATGCTCCTCAGAAAAATGAATTTAAATAAATGTTTGTGATCTATTTTTCTAAGAGTTTATTCCTTAATTTGGAGAAATTATTTCAACCATTCCGAATAATGCATATATCTTTGAAGAAAAGTATCAAAGTGATTAAAACAGAACTTTTTTTTAACGAGAAATTCAATTCCTATTCCAAACATTCACCTGCCAAAGACAACATTTACACAAGTTTTCCAACCATTGTCAAAAGTATTCAGAAACATGCGAAGAAATAAGAATTAAAATTAAAGAAAATCATAATCAGAATTCATATTTAGCAGATTTGACATAATAAGCGCCCTGGGCACTAAGCAATTTTGGGGAATGAAATGACAGCAGATCGTTCAATAGGCTCAAAAAAATAAAGCTATGATAGACATTTGCCCCCCAAATAAGTCAGTAACTTATTGTCAAGGAATGTAACGCTCAGGCCGAAACAAAGAAGGGTGGTGCTCAGAAAGGACTGGGTGCTTATTGGGTCACATCAGATAAACATGTTCAATAAGAAACACAGTTCTCTCATACCGTAAATATGGCAATAAAATTTCTATTGTTTGGAAATAATTCTTTATTTTTTTTATAACAAACAGTAAAAGTCACAAAACAATTCAATTTCCAGCATACATCATTTCAAGGTCATATCAAGGTTACTCCAAGGTTAAAGTTGCAAGGCCATACAGAAGTGAAAGGTCAAATCAGTACACATGTGAAACATATTCATAATCATATTACTAAATGATTTAATCAAATAATTAATAATAATTTGATTTTTTTTCACAATTTAATATTCTTGATACGATCTTCAATGAATTTTTCTATCAAAAAACTATCAAATTTATCCAAAACAAGTTAGTAAATTATAACTTATGTTATAAATTAATACATAAATAAAATATATTGAAAAAAAATATACATTATTTCATTACTTAAAGCAAAAGATAAGTTATTAATATATAATGTAATGAAGTTTGTTAAAGTTTTGTAAGATTCAACAGTTTATATCTGATTATTTAAAAGATATTAAGAAAACCATTTTGTTTTTGTTTTTTCAACTGTCAGAATAAGAGGAACTTCATGAAGAAATCAGGGACAAAGGTCATACCATGCAAGGTAAGTGGTGTCATAATTTTAGGCAAAAATTTACCGAAGGTTTACGACAAATAAGAAAATCTGTTACCCATCACAAGACTAATATCTGTAAATTTGAAACATCCATGCCTCAGTCGATTTCAAAAATCTACACATGCAAACATTTTTACAGGCCAAAGGTCAAATTGGGGGGAAGCTGGAAGCTTTGTGTCAAGAGATCATTCAAGAGTGTAGCATTCATTCGAAGCAGAGGTAAAAATTTGTAAGGAAAAATTTCTTTTGGAAAAAAATATATTACAACATCATTACAAGGGATAAAGGGTTAATTAAATGTTTCCTTTTTACCATGCAAATCCTGGTTAGATCCGAGGGACATTCGGCGTACTTTCGCCTCTACTGCCTGGATAATTTGTTCTGTCATGTTGAATTAGATTAGTGTTAATATTTGGAACACAAGCTTCTATATCAGTAACAGGGGAGGGGCACCTAAAGGTGGCAGAATGAGACGGATGAGAAAGCAAAACGGATTGTGTTAATAATGGCTAATGATTGGCTGTTTGTCTTCACCAATGAGTGTCAATGTGAGATTAGCGACATATGATTGAGCCATGAGTGTCGTGTAAGCTTATTTCTGATTGGCTGCGAAAAACATTCAGTGCAAACTTTTTGTAAACCATATTTACTTACAATCATCTACATATAACAGGTCTGAAAGTTCAAGGTTCAAGCTAGATCAATTGTTTAACCACAAATAATGCGTTCCTGGTGTCTTAGTTTCTCAAAGTGTTCTACAGGACACAAACACACAATTATGTCGGGATATTCTGGCAAAAATATCTCGAAACGTTTCAATGTATTTTCAGAAGTTTATCAATCACAACTTTTATCATTGTTACCTGGGCTATACCTATTATGAGGATAGTTTCTATATCATTTTTTAAACCAATCAAAACGAACCAGTCTTATCTGAAAAACATATTTTTAATATTACGAATAATTTATTATTTTTTTAGGACGAAATTTACTTAAATGTTTTAATGATCTTTATGTCAGAAACAAACAGAAACAAAAGTAATTTGGGGCTAGATACACACAGATAGCTGCTGAAACTAATACCACACTGAGAAAATCATCTATGTATTTGCATCTAGAGAGGCTAACACTAAAGACAGGATTGGCAGAGTTGAGGCTAACACTACAGACAGGATCGTCAGAGTTGAGGCTTACACTACAGACATGATCGTCAGAGTTGTGTAAATAACCTGTGGATGACATGGGTTCTACATATTTGAGTAAATCACAGTTATTCCACCTTGATAGCTAAAATCTATACAACTCAATTTTCCTTTCCTGTTTTCGAGAGTGTGAACGAAATATCCAACAAATTCTCTTAATTCTTAACTCCCGATACTTATGTCAAGTCATCTAAAGAAAAAAATGAGCAAATCTTATCTAATTTCATACAAAATTAAACCAAAAATAAAAATCTAAATCAGAAATGGTGGGACATCTACTGTTATAATACACTGGAAAAATTGTTCAATTTCTCTATAAACTGTAAACAAAAATATGTATTTACATCATGAATTTCATTATTATATTTTCAGTGTTCAGAGGCTGACTTAAGACAGCTAAATGAGTTAAAGATCATGGATATTCATTAGATATTTTATTCACACTTCACACGATGTAGAAACTAATTATAGTGGTATGGACTATGGAACACAGTGATTTGATGGTATATCCCTATATTGTTAGTGCCATGAAAATTGACAAATATCAAAAATAACATAAAAATGATGTGTAGAGTGATCTCCCTTACCTGCTGAAGCGACTGGGCTGACCGGGAAGCTTGGTGTTGTAGCTCCGGAGCGTCCCATGGTTCCCATACCCTCTGGTTCCAGAGTCTGGACCCCAGGGCCAATCGGGCGGAGGCTGATCTTGTCTTCTTCCACGACGCTGATCTGTTTGGGGGGTGGGGGAGCTATGGCCTGCACCTGGCTCTGTACGGAGGATAAAGGATAATGGCCAGTTTTAGTTAATGTCACAGATTTGACAACTGAAATAATTTGCCTTCCTTGGTAAGTGGTCATAAGTACGTTTGGGTCAGGATTCAATGAAAGTCTACAGAAAGCTTTGACTGAGAAAATCATTTAAAAGCAACTTTTATATAAAAAACAAAGTGTGTGTTTCAGGTAAAATTTATTCATTTATACGATTAAATGACATGCCATGGTCCCAAAGAAAGATAACTACACTAAACCGGATCATGTTCAAATTCAAAAGGGTAGCCGAGGTACATACAATTACAATGTACTTTTCAAGCTCACTCAATCCAACTTTAAATCAAATCTCAGGCAAGCCAATAACTGAATCCAGATTTGAGTCATACAAAATCCAAATTAAAAACCTCGATGTATATTTATATCAGAGAGATTTATTTTGTAGTCCCCTCGAACCCTCTTATGCCGGCGTTACTGATACGGTTTCACACGGCGGGCAGGCTACACTATTATACATAGGGCAAAACTTCAATTGACTCTAATGGAATGTAAAAAGTTGAAATCAAATAAAAAACTACTTATTCTGAAATGAAACATGGAGGTGAAATGAGTCATATATGTATATATCTACAAGGATATATGTTTGACATTAAAACTGTATTATTTACCTTATGATATTCATGCTTCATCAGGTTTTTGATATACTATATATATATAACGAACTGTCCATGCAGTAATGCAGCAGTATGTCCTGTAGTTGGCTAGATAGAAAGGTAATCATACCAAACAGAGGCTGATGGACTTGTACCTATTTACACGAAATTCAGCCTCGTTAACTTGATCCCAGGGCCTTCATGTGACACACCATGTATTACCCATGATTAGTCTAGTATTACTTCGGTATTAGGCCCACCTCTTTTCAAAATGCTTCCTGCATATCGAGTCAAATTCAGTCCCAGGGCCCTATTCTCAATCAAACCTTAATTCTAGATATTATATTTGTGCATCAGTGTAATTTGCACTTCAAATGCATAAAAAAAAGTTTATTTATATATTTTACACATCAAAATTTTTGTTGCCAATTCACAACTGAAAAAATTGTACCTATAGGTTTGTAAATTGCATATTTCAAACTTCAAATTTATTTTGATGCAAAAAAAATCAGAAATATTTGTATTGCATAACTTTTGTTTTTGTTTTTTTTGTAGATATTTAGTAATTATGACTTTTTACCAATATAACATTTTTCACTGCAGTAACTATATGGTACCAATGTTTCCTGACCAAAACGTGATATTTATAACTAACATCACCCTTTTCTCCGATGTTATTTGGTATTTTACCATTATTAAATTCCTACATTCAAACATCCATGCTGTAACACTTTTCAGTCAATTTTTCCACATTTCTGAGTTTTCTACTTCAGGGCTAGACACTACGGGTAGCCCGATAGTCTGAGACTAGTTAACTATACAGCTGGACTAGCGGTTCTAAAATCTACTGGCTTGATTGACAAGTCAAAATTTGATATTACTTATGTTAAATAATTTAAGGATAGTGAATTTCGGACATGGACTAGTAAAATTGTAAACTAGCAGCCTGACAGACTAGTAATTAAAAAAATAATTTCTAGCCCTGGACTGCAATATATAACTATATATATACCGAGTATATACGTTTTAATGTATTATTCATGCCAGTCTTTGTTTGTATCAAGCAACTCACGATTTATTCATTCAAATGCGAGTACAGAAATATTATTTCTGGAATGTTAGATCCATGCAGGGTTTCATTTCTCTGTCATGCAGCTGATGATGAAGATCCGGTTAGTCAATTATGAGATAAACACTTACAGTTCTGGCCGCAAAACGTTTCAGGACCAAATGCTAGATTTGGAGGCAGAAAACCATGATGGTATAGGTGAAAGAAATAAGACAGCTAAAGGGAAGAAACCTATGCAAAGAAAGAGTACATACCAAAGAGGAGGAAACTGGACAAAAGAAAGGTATAAACATGAATATGATGTTTAGATACGAAGAATTTTAATGATTATAGAAGTGATATGATAGAAAAGATCAACCAGGGTTTAGACGTTTCCTAGGGATGAGATGACAAGATCATATCAAACATAAATAGGTACAGAATAGGACAGATCTCCTTCATACAAGATGAAAACCTTGTTTTCATTCATTTGTCAAAGGGAAGTAACCGAGAAGATTTTTACATTCAAGAGAAAATGATAAGATATACTTCAGGTTCATCCACAGGGAGTTGCTGGTAGCATGTTCATCCAAGGAAAATTATGCGAAGATTTTCATTGAAGAGAAGAAAAACGTTGGGTGCATTTTGACAGAATTTTTCATCAACGATGAATCAGAAAATATGTTCCAAAGGGAGGTAATTCTGTTTTACCTTCTTTTTGATGACTTGGCTGTATATGACCTCGTCTGCTGCTTTGCTGGATTTGGACAGTGTGAATTCTGTCTGTGATTTAGACTGTGTCAGGGTCTGAGTGTCCAGGGATTCGATTGAGTCGATTGTCTGGTATTCGGAGGTGATAAATTGCTTTTGTCCCATCCTCGTTGTACTGGCGAGCCTCGCAGGTTGACTGGTTGCCATAGTATTCTCCGACCCTCTGACCGAGTCGATTGTTTGATATTGTGATGTGACGAATTGCTGTCTACTGGATGTATTAAACATTTGAGATTTATCCACTACTGCGTAATGGCCATTGTCATCCACCTCAAACTCGGATGTTCCCCGTTTAGTCTGCCAATCAAGCCCCTGACTGGTTTCAGCTCCACCCTTAGAACAGCTTTGGTTTACACTCAGGCCAGCAGCATTACTGGTGAGCTCCCTGTTTGCTTGACCTTTAGAAACTGTTTCACTTTTAGCTGTAGTTGATGTTGCGGTCCTGTCAGATTTTTCTATTACAGGTTTTAGGGAGGATCCACCTTCGGAGAGATAGGTATGCAGCATCCCTAGCTGGTCAGCGCTGAGTTCCCCTTGACCAGGGACGTTGATAGTACACTCATGTTTACCTGATTTATGGCCTGGCTCGATCATGAACACTGGTTCTGCCTGAGTGATTGTTTCCTGAACGAATTGACCAGTCTGCCTGTTACAGCTTGATTCTGAGGTCATCTGCCCAGACCAGTTGGTGGTAGCTTCTTTCTGATGAATAGTGACTTCCGGCTGGAAATGTGTGGTAGCGGTTGTGTATTCCTGTTGTTGTGAATGAGTTATCTTCATTCCAGGTTGCTCTTCATGCATCATGGCGACATGCTGTTCCTGTCTCTCAGCACTTGTTGCCCCAGTAACAGGACACACACCAGTAGTATCTGTGATGGTCTGTGATTGGAATCCAAAACTTGGAACAGGTACATCCTTCTCATTGTCAGTCAGGACTTCCTGAATGTGTGGACCTACTTCTTTGGCAACAAGGCTGCGAGGGGTTTGGACTTGCTGACTAGTGGCAATGTAAAAGTCCACCTTTTGTCCCACTTCAACCTCATCTCTACTGCCCCTTCGACTGCCATCACGTGATCCAATCTCATCTCTACTGCCCCTTCGACTACTATCTTGCGAATCAATCTCATCTCGACTGCCCCTTCGACTGCCATCATATGATCCAATCTCATCTCTACTGCCCCTTCGACTGCCATCATATGATCCAATCTCATCTCGACTGCCCCTTCGACTGTTGCTGCCCCATAAAAGTTCCTCCAGAGTCCTCGTTCCCCCGAGGAAATCTTCACTGCCTTTGTTTCTGTCACAATCCAGCTCGTCTCTGCTACTCCTGCGACTACAGCTTCCCCACTGGACATCCAGTTCATCTCGACCTCCCCGACGACTGTTGGGCCCCGAGTTATCTCCCCGTTGATCTGTACGACTTTTCGAGACGGTGAGTGTGTTCGGGCTGACTTCAACCATTTCCTGTTTATGGTCAATGCATTTAAGATCTCTCTTTTCTGTGGCCGACACGTCATCGGCAGTAACGGTCCAAGAATCAAGGTTATAGTTCAAGGTAACGTCAGGCTTTTCCTTGGTCCAAGCTGTCAATTCTCCAAGCAGATTGTTCAGTGCAGTATTAGCTTCCACAAAAGACATTCGAGCCTCACTCTCGCTTGTTTCACTGTTCTCGCTGACCTCTGACCTCGGTAAACTATTACAATTTGACCTTGGCAGAGTGTTGACCTCTGATGACCTTCTTGGAAGATTTTCATCTTTGTTATTTCTCTTTTCCTTTTAAAACCAACATTTTTGTTTTAGAGATTTTACTTTCAAACATGAAACACACAAAAATGTTTAAACTTATCTTAAACTTATGAATAAGACTGTATAGAGAAAAAATAGAAATTCTGAATTTGTCAGTATCACAAAAATGTGGGGGTGAAGGGTAGTACAACGTGATGACGTGAAGTTAGACAACCTTTATATGACCTTTACTGTATTTGTAAAGGTCAAATGAACTGTTTGACAACACATTCTGGAATGCATTTATGGCAGCACAAAATATTATACTTATAAGATCCTCAACAAAATCAATATTTCTTAAAAAAGAAAGAAAAAAACCCTAAATGAACCTAAGTACAAATGATCTGGAATTACAAAGATGATTTGAAAATTGAATATTATGCATACTGAAATATTCATTCAGTGTTCTTTTCTCCTAACTCATTCACCCCTGAATACGCATTTGAACTCTTCCAAATCAAAGGTTGGAATAGTTCATTATGAAATTTCAGGGGGAAAATTGTTAAAATCTATTATGTAAAGGTACTAAAATTGACTGATGATGTTGAGTCTCTATTAGTGTACCAAATATCCTTCTCTTACAGAACAATCCTTTTTTGTACATTTTACATGTTAGCTTAGTCAGTAAACATATTTTTAATGCTCAAATACACAATAATTTCTTAACAGGAGATAAATACAATGACCATCTGCAGTTACCTTCCCTCTTACACATTTTTGTTAATTTTTTTTTGTTGTAAAGGTATATTTAACTCATTCACCACTGAAGATACATTTGAACTCTTAAAATTCAAAGGTTGGAATAGTTCATTATGAAATTCAGGGGTGGATGAGTTAAGATAGCGAGTCCCACCACTTATTATTTTCTAGTTGAATAATGCTATTTCCTCTAAATTCATACAGACAATTATAAGATGCAGCCTTTTAGGTGAGTTGGAACATTTTGGAGTTTTTCTCAATAATTCTGAAGTAAAATATTAACATATCAAATATAACATAACTGGTGATGGGGAAGTTTCCTGTTTTATAAACAAGAGGTCTTGGGAACTTTAAATGAATAAGGAAACTTTTAAAAATAAAATAAAAAAAATTGTGTATAAAGCTTTAATAAATAGGAAATCATTTTCAAGTCAATAAAATGCCAAAGAAATTAGAACTCTTTTTCATTGGAGGTACAACACAGAGCAATGTTACTCTCTATCTTAACTCATTCACCCCTGAACTTTCATAATGAACTATTCCAACCTTTGAATTGGAAGAGTTCAAATGTGTCTTCAGGGGTATACGAGTTAACAGAATGTCTTGTTTACATGGAGTGACTGTTTTCATGGACAATACACCGACATGGTTTGTCTGTACCGTATAACAATGTCTTGTTCTGTAGAAGAAGAGGATATGAGGCGTTACGTTAGTAAATGGTGAGTAGATATACGTACTACGGTAACTGAACCATGCATGTTCATATTATCCCACTCGGGTGACGTGCTTCGCTGGTGAGGAGTTGGGGAAAGGGGTGGAACCTCTCCGTGTCCGTCATAGCTACTCACAGACTGCTGCTGCTGGTGGTGTTGTTGTTGTTGTTGTGTCTCGTATTTCCTTGTGTCCACACGCCTTGTCACGTGACGCTCCGTCGTCGAGTAACTCTTTTGCTGCTGCTGCTGCTGCAGCTGTTGTTGTTGTTGTTGTTGCCATGGCGTAGTAGCTATGATGGAATTAGAAGCAGCCTGAAGAGACTTCTCCAGTTCCTCCAACCTGTTGCGTTCCCTTTCTACTTTTTCCTTCTGTTCCGCTGTCGTGCTCCTCTGTGTTGTTCCTGGAAACAATATTTCATACATCTAATACTGGCTTCAATTATATGCACCAAAAAAAAATAATCTTTTCATAATATCATGACCTTATTTCCCCAGAGATTAAATAAGAAAGAAATGATTTCCAAAATTTCTGTATTCAATTTAAGACAGAAAAGTGCATGAAATATTTATGTTTCTCCTTGTTCAAATCTTTTAAACAAACTAACAAGGGAACTAATCATACTGGGTTACCTCCCTTATTCTACAATATATTCTCTCAAATTACTGGACGAATTATGATATACTGTAACCAGTTGATTTCATCATTTAATTCATCTCCTCTAGATTTTAGTTAATATATATTTCATATAATTGAATACAGAAATGCTGCAATCATTTCAAATCTCTCTTGACTATTTTAATGAAATTGCAGGATATTTCTTGAAACAAAATTTGAATTTGCAAATGAAAATTTGAATATCTAAGCAACAGAAATAAAACTCAAGTTCTTTCCAATGAAGCTCTAGTCTATAATTACAACAGCGAAAATCATGAAACTTTACGATATATAAATTAAATAGAATTAAATCAAAATTAATGCAAACGAAAAGACAACAAAAGATTGAAAAAGTTACAAATAAGTATTAGTAATAAATGTTAACGGTTTAAGAAATAAAAGAAAGACTATAGATAAAGATATAGTAGTATATTTCAGTATTAGTGTTTTTGTGGTTAAATATAAATACTTACGCTTCCGTTTAAATAGTGATCAAGTACGTATTAAAGAGCTTGAGTGTATTAGTGAAAAGCACCTAAATCTCTCTATAAAAAAAAAGATGTGGTCTGAAATTTTCACAAATGCTGAATACGGAAATTATTTTCTTTCATGTTGAAAAGTGTCTCATAACCTAAGCTTTTATAAACAAAAATTCAAGTTCAATGTTGTCAATTTCTGTAAGTTTTTTGTCAGAATAAATGCAATTCAGCAATATGGTTTGATCTTCTTTTAGAATATTTCAAAACTTCAAGATTGTTCATTTCAAATTCAAAATCAATTTGATATGCAAAATAATCAACAAAAGAGTCTAAAACAACAAAAGTTAGAACAAAACTCAAAATCAAGGTCATCCGTTAAAAATATTTATGTTAAAAGGGGTTAGTTGTAAATTAGGAAAAGCATTAACAATCAACCGAAACAAATAAAAGCAATGAAGAATAAAAGTGAAATGTCTGCAAGTATTCATCACAAAGCTGAATCCTAAACACACCGTTAGAACTGCATTGTGATTTTGTGACGGGTATCACAGGGAAGGGGAGATAATTGGGCAGAGTGGGGGGAACTTGTAGTGGACTGAACAGTCGGGATCGGTCGGACCAGGGGAAATTTTTGCACAGAGACCCAAGGTGACCCGTAGGACATGAAAACACATCCTGATTGGCTGTAAAGAAATCATACATAAATATGTAAGGTCAAAGGTTGTTATGTTGCTGGCTGAAATGCCAACAAAAAGTATTCTGAATATTAATGTATAACATTGTGTTTGTTTTAAATATATATAAAATCCTTCTACATTTATCTTTTTCCTGAATAAAAACAGCATCTTCGAGAGAAACAATTTGTCAGAAAGTCTGGAGATAAGAGAAACTGGTTTGTTATCAGAAACTGGATTTTGCAAATTCCCTTGAGTCTGTGATTCCAATTTCATTCCAGTTGTTAATGATTTGAATGCAGCACGATTTTTTTTGCAAATAAGTATATTTTTTTTCCAACTATTGATCACTGGTTTTCAAATTGTATGATCTATTTAATCTGTAAGATATTTAAAATTCACTAAGATTTTAATGTGCATAAAATCATCTAAATGGAATGATTCCAAATTTTGTATGGAAGGAAAATTTGTGAATTTATTAGAATCAAAATGTAATCCAGTTCAAGGGAGTTTAGCGTAGAATGCCAGAGAGCTATGAGTAGGTTAAACACAATACCGTTACAATCGTACACAACATCCTGGTAATCACATACACAAAGTCAAAGGTTACACACGCTTGGCCAATCACAACCTCCTATGATATCAAGAGGCGGAGCCATGATCATATATGGCAATGCACAGCAGAAAGGCAAGGGAAGTAATTTGCACACATTTCAGTTTCTCATGTTCCATCGGCAGCAGCACAAAGAATCAAATTTACTTCATCTGCTTTGAATAATACATGTCGATCATGTCTAGTTTTTTTGCAGAGTTATCCTTGAATTTTGATTTTTTTACTTGAAATTTTGTGTTAAAGTCATAAAGAATATTTATCTAACTTTTATTTCCAATTTTGAAAAAAGAAAATGGCCAATGAAAAATAACTATGATATAGAGGTGTATAAAGTGACACATATACATCTGTGCTTGGAGTACAGGATGTTAAAACTGTGATTATAAATCTGAAGTATATATGAATTAAAAGTAAATCATAGTTATTGCAAATAATTACAAATTTTGTGCAAAAAATATATATTAACATTTGAAGTGCTCACAACACCAAATAAAAAATAAATTGAAGCAAAAATCATAGAATATACTTGTAAACCGAATTATTAACAAAAAATAAAGAAAATATTTGTGCAGGAAAATAAATATAATGGACCGACTTGTTGAACAAAACAGATGAAGATAATTTGTATCCTAGCGGCCAAGACCTCCTCCGTATCACATCCCTTAAAACTGCTATTTCTTCGTCTGACGCGAAGCATTTAAACTTTTATCAAAGCATGTTTCTATCCTATAGACGTTGGTATTAAAGCATTATTCTACAAAATTTTGTCTCTTTCCTTGAAACTTGGTTTTAAAGCACAATGTACTAAATCGTGTTTGTATCTGGAAATTTTCTTATCAAAGCACATTTTTTAAAAATTTAAAATTGCTACAATATTAAAAGCACATATAAGCTCAAGCGTTTAAAGCCGAACATTTTCCCATTTTTGTTGGAAAATGTGTAGATTAACAATTTTCAATCTAGAAAAGAATTAAAGCTGTAGATTTTTCACCTGTAAAACAAAGTTCTGATTTTGTCAAAAGAGGAGTAGATGACACTAATTGCTCGGAAAAATAAGTCCCACAAGTTAAAAAGCAAAAGGAAATACGTAGACACCCAATTACAATAAACCAGATCCCTTTTCGGAAACACACTTGAAGCTATAGTTTAAATGCTTACTGACAGCAGAGAAATGCAGTATGTTATTAAATGGCATTAAAATATGCCAGCATATTATGATGAATTATCTATTTCCTCCAAAAGCCTGAAAAAACAAGGCTTGAATTTTGTTTAAATGATCTTTTTCAAGTAATAAGCAACAGCTGCAAGCGAAAATAATTTCAATCAATTATTTTTTTTCACTCAAACAGGAAGTAAAAGAGGAAAAGGTAGATGCGGGATGTGATTGGCTGCGAGACTTGTCGATAGGTAGAGGGACGGGTGCCGGTCGCTTCATACCTGTCCCGTCGGCTCCAGCTGTCCTGTGGACGTAAACCTCTGTGATGTAATGCGACTTCTTCTGACCCTCGGGGTGGGTAAACTCCTGCACCTCTGTGACCTTGGTTTTGGTGGGTGCATGCACCGGCAAGGTCATCTGTATATCTAAACTCTGGTCCCGTTGTGGGTGCTGCTGTTCGACCGAGGTCCGTGATTTGGACACTTGGTACGTCTGCTGCTGCTGAACGGGAGAGAACGGGCGGGGAGATTGGGGAGGGGTTGTAACACTAATTGCTCGTATAATGGGCGGTTTTACTTCCTGTTCTGGCTCCCTTTGTCCGATACGCCCCTGCCATGAACTAGTGCTTGTGTTGCGGGAGCGTTGCATAAAGTCTTTGCTACTTGACCTAACAGGGGGGATAACTGGGGATGTTAGAGGTGGTTGGGCCCGCTGCTGGCCCGGGGATGGGGGTGGTTTTTGTGTTGATGAGGTGCTAGTGGATGTGTACGAGGTGTTATAGAAGGAGTCACCTGTGAAGCCTGGAGGCGAGAACGACCGGACTGGCTCATGGGCAGATCGATCCGTTGAGTATGCATGGTTTTGAGTCACGACGTAAGACGATGAAACAGGTCCGTTGGCAACGGGTGGTGGCGAAGACGCAGTACGATATGTTTCCATCGTCGCCTGTTCCTCAGCCTGGTTATTGGCACGCTTCATAAAGTACTTATTTTGTGCCGTCTTGAGTTCCTCAACCAACTGGCGTTCCTGCTGGACTGTTTTATCATCCTTGCTGTCCTTTCGCTGGCGAAGTTTCTGTTGCTGTTCCTGAAGCCAGGATGAGGTCTGTTCATTCGGCGACATGGATCGTGAGCTGTCCATGGTCCTATTGAAGGACGATTCATTATTGGTATAATAGCGGTTGTCATAGTCTGTTCTGTAGGGCAGTGAGTGAGTCTTAGGACTTTCATCCTTACGCTGAAGTTCAGGGGACGTTGGCCCCGATGTATAACTAAATGCATTTTTAGGCACATAACTTTTCTCCTCAGTTTTTGTCATGCTATAGTTTCTTTCCTCCTTAAACCCCCCGGGGATTTTATACGTCACCTCGGCCGTCTGGTATGTGGTTTTTCCATCCGGAGTGGCTTGTGTGTCGTATGTGCGGAAAGTCCGCGTGTCCTTAGAAACAGAATTAGCACCACTTTTTGGCGGACTCTGTGGAGTTGACACAAACACTGAATCGTTAAGTAGGTCACTCAGAATCATGTCTAACTGCGTCTGCTCGTCCAATGGGGGAACAGTCTTCTTCTGTCCACTGGACACACCGTTATTGTAACTCGATTTGGAAGAGTTCAAGGTTGAGGAAAAACTTTGGTGTAGCGAATCGTTGTTGTTGACATTACTTGTGTACTGAGGCGTGATATTCACGCTAGTGCTTGTTGTGTTCATATTTGAACTGGTGTTACCTGCGATACCTGAAACAGAAAAAATACATTGTCATGACAACATTCACTACTCATCCAACAGAAGTTATCATCATCATTACCAACTTACCATTCCCTAAATACAAAATAGAATGTCCCAGCTCTTTTAAGTTGGACTAGTTTAAATGGTACTGAGGGATAAGCTGGCTTATATCTCCCCTCATAAACTTGTATCAATTGTTTATACTTATTCTTTAACAAATCTAAATCAGTAATAATGAAACAAAAGTGTGGCACTTGTAAACACGGATTCAACATAACATGACTGACCTGTTTCCTGTTCGTCGGACATTATGTTTGAAGTGTACAAATTTAATTCCGAATGTGATAGCCAGTCACATGACAGTGTGACCAACAAGCAAGTGTTAATCTCCGAAAAGCATGGATATCAAATCTCTCGCAACATTTCGACACCCTAGTCCTAGGACATCGCTCAAAGTACTGATATATAAACAAAACTCGAAAGCACTGCCGTATAATAACCTGGTACACAATATACAATATATAAAGGATATAATTCTTGTCGTTTGACGGTATAAGTAGCGCGTTTACCAGAACTGCTGAAGCCAACCTAGTATGTATATATACGTATATTAATTATGTAAACCGTATCATATATTATATAATTAACTCTTGATTATCACAGATTAGTACTGTATGCTTTTAATTACGTATCACGTTATTGGTTAATGGTGATGATCATTATGAGATTGGTCCTAATCAATAGAAAAAAAACTCCATGCATCGATGATCAAAATAAGAACGTAACAAAAGGGCAAAGGGTCTAGAAATGCAAACATCGTATCCAAAAATTTTGCTATTAGTAAAATTTCCGATATGGCAGATAAAGAAAAAATAAAGATGAAAATATTGGATTCTAATAAAAAAAACTTTCCACCAATAAATAAGTCCACTGTATCAATTGCTATGGTAACCAAGATAAAAATTTATCATTCCAAATGAGCATGCCAAAATAGTTCCATTATGAATACAGTGATATTTTTCAAAATCCTAGGTTTTGGTACCGAAAGATACTAATCTATTTCATTCTGTAGAGCTGTTTGTAAGGATATTTTTTCTTCTCTTAATGATATTCTACTGAATTGTGTGGGGCACCGAGTCACACCAAGAAAAGAAATATTACACTGACTTCAAACGTATTGAACACATTGCCATGCGGGAGAAAGATAACAAACAATTCAACGTACATCATCATTTTCTCTAAAAACAAAATGGTCTAAATGGAAATCACAAGCACTGAGATTTGTACATGACAAGGGAGATAACTCTTGCTAACACTACTCTGTCTACAAAATCTTATGATGACCAATGAAAGTACTCACAAAGGATATATAATGTTGTAGCCAGGTGTATGTATTTTGTCTATTGTTCATGGTATCCAATTAAATTCCATTTCTGAATTCTCATATCACAACATCATTGTGTCAAGTTATTGGTCAAAACTTAATTATTTTGCAAAATTTGACAGAAAAAGTATTTGATAGTAGCCAATCACAGAAAAGCTTAATCATTATAAGATTTTTTCCATTAAAAGTAAAGAAAACCTAGGCTTATTCATCCCTGAACCCTTCCCTTCCCAACATCACTGACTATTGATGCAGTCTTAAATCCTAACAAAGGCTTTTTTCAGAGCCAATCACTTTTCACAAAAAGTGTCCATTATGCTTGAAATTAAGCTACAAAACTGTGTTTTATTGTTGTTGCTTTTTATCTATCACCTACTAATTCAGAAGCAAAAACCTACTTCACTATCACCCTCAGAAGTAAATTTCACTTCACTATCACCCTCAGAAATAAATTTTACTTCCCTATCACCCTCAGAAGTAAATTTTATTTCCCTATCACCCTCAGTAATAAATTTGATTTCACTATCACCCTCAGTAGCAAATTTGATTTCACTATCACCCTGAGTAGTAAATTTGATTTCACTATCACCCTGAATAGCAAATTTGATTTCACTATCACCTTCAGTAAGAAATTTGATTTCACTATCATCCTGAGTAGTAAATTTGATTTCACTATCACCCTCAGTAGTAAATTTGATTTCACTATCACCCTTAATTGTAAGTTCCAGCTCAGTCATCCTCAATATGTAACTTTGCACTCATTCCAAATTTTAATAGCAAGTTCTCACTATCACCTTTTAAATAAGATGTTTTTCACTATAACTGTCATTAGATGTTTAACGACATTTTAAATTATTATACTCGGGGAAATATTACATTCAGTGAGACACCACAATGGAATTTTACTTTAATGAACCACCCTAGTAGAAATAGTTATAGATTAATTACAAGGCCCCTGCCTTTTCCTTTCAACATCATTTTGTTTATTTTTTCATGAAAAAAGATGTCTCTCCAGAATGTTTAAGTTAAAGAGATGGTATTCATTCTCCAGGAAACCTCAGATCTGCCACTGGGAATGATGCCAGTGTAGCTTTGTAATAGCATAAACACAAGAAACAGCATTGCAAAAAACAGGAGGCGGCTTCGATAGTTTTAAAACATGACAGTTCAGATAGAACCATTATGGTTGGTAAAATTCACCATGTAATTACTCTTGAAGAGAAGCAACCAGATTTTGACAGGAGCAGAGTTAACGAGGAGCAGAGTTAACGTTCCTGACCAATTCTCATTTTGAAATTAAGCAGGAATGGTACGCTGTTGATTGGGGTACAAATATTTGGTTCATTGCCATGGTAACCCCAATCATCTGTCACTGTCTATAGCCAGCGGAGGAATCCCAGTTTTTATACCCGATTCCCCATTACAGATTAGCACAACCCCCAAACACGACCCATTGGTAGGTTTTCATTGGTCATTAATCACAGCTGCGGAATGTGAATATTGGTTGCTATGGACAACAGACAAGCCGATCTTGGATTGGTGTCATCCACTAGAAAAATATTAATTACACATTACACTAATTATGGCAATTTACAGAATGTCTTGGGCATCTGTATCGGATAATTCATGAGACACCACCAACCTGCTGATGGCAAATCTAGTCCAGCTGAAGGGCCATAAAACATTACAAAAACACTACAAACTAACACAAAACCTTCCAAGAATAAAGGTTCACAAAGTAAGAAACTGAAACCCTTATCCAGACACCCATTAATATTAAGTAAACAACGAAATTCACTTGACACTTGAGATGGACGTTTTTTGAACAGCAGCTGAAATAAAGGAATGTTAAAGTCTGTTTTTTTGTGTTAACTGCTTCAAAATCTGCATTGAGGGAAAAAGTGGAATATTTAAATTCTTTTCCACACACCTGCCAACTACAGGAAGGAGAAACTTAATAACTATTTAAAAGCTAAGACAAACCACTTTTCTCTGTTCTGAATTTGGAACGTTTTCAAATATTTTCAAAAAACTTAGAGAATGGAAGAGTTGAATCTGCTGCAGATTACGCTGATCAACCGGCGCGTTTTCCAGTAAATGTCTGTATATCTGACACTGCCTCATTTTTATACCATGATCTCATCAGCTCCCTCACAAAATAGCATAATTCTGACAGCACTTCCAGAAGATTAAATTTTCTAGTGACATAATTGGTGGACATTTACCTATTAAGATTATGTCTTTCACCGAGAACTTAATTTGCAACTTTTTAATGCGAGTAATACAGAAATAGATTCTGTGATCGTACTTGCGGAAAACAAGAAAAAATCGTCTATCCTAGACTATGTGTTTCTACCTGGTACCTACCAGGGACTATATGGACCAAAAATGTAGCCTATGTTGGTCTTTGGGTACCTACCAGGGACTACATGGACCAAATGTAGCCTATGTTGGTCTTTGGATACCTACCAGGGACTATATGGACCAAATGTAGCCTATGTTTGTCTTTGTGTATGTACCAGGGTCTATATGGACCAAATGTAGCCTATGTTGGTCTTTGGGTACCTACCAGGGACTATATGGACCAAATGTAGCCTATGCTAGTCTGTCTGACCTACCAGGGTCTATATGGACCAAATGTAGCACATGTTGGTCTTTGAGTACCTACCAGGGACTATATGGACCAAATGTAGCCTATGCTAGTCTTTGTGTATGTACCAGGGTCTACATGGACCATAGGAGGCCAAACCTAGACTGTATATTAACCTAGACCATAGGTAGCCTATGTTAGTCTTTGCGTACCTACCAGGGTTTACATGGACCATAGGAAGCCTAACCTAGACTGTATGCCTACCCTACCTAGACCATAGGTAGCCTATGCTAGTCTTTGTGTATGTACCAGGGTCTACATGGACCATAGGAGGCCAAACCTAGACTGTATATTAACCTAGACCATAGGTAGCCTATGGTAGTCTTTGTGTACCTACCAGGGTCTACATGGACCATAGAAAGCCTTACCTAGACTGTATGCCTACCTAGACCATAGGTAGCCTATGTAAGTCTTTGCGTACCTACCAGGGTCTACATGGACCATAGAAAGCCTTACCTAGACTGTATGCCTACCTAGACCATAGGTAGCCTATAATAGTCTTTGTGTACCTACCAGGGTCTACATGGACCATAGGAAGCCTAACCTAGACTGTATGGCTACCCTACCTAGACCATAGGTAGCCTATGTAAGTCTTTGCATACCTACCAGGGTCTACATGGACCATAGAAAGCCTTATCTAGACTGTATGCCTACCTAGACCATAGGTAGCCTATAATAGTCTTTGTGTTTCTACCAGCGGCTATACATGGACCATAGGTAGCCTATGTAAGTTCTTTTGCATACCTACCAGGGGCTCCTTGTATCAAAGGCAGTCTATCTTTGTAGCTTTGATGGCACCTGGGGAATCGGTACATAGTAAGTCTTAGACTCTGCGTTCCTACCAAGGACTTGATGTACTGTAGGAAGACTGCTCTTCACTTTGTATGAGAAACCTATCCCAGTGTTGCGGCCATGGTGTATAATCTTGTCCATTTGTTTAGCTGGAACCTGCCTGGAGCCAGCAGGTCTACTTGTAGTAACTGTATGGAATGTGAACACAACTCTCCACATGAAACCGTGTGTACAGGTCAGTGACTGTTTTACCACTACTTTGCCAACACAGGGGTGCTAACCTGTACATATCCTACAACAGGAGGATCGGGATGTGGACTACTGGACCCACTGACAAATCCTCAACAGGTTAAATCAAGCTCAACCTGTTAGTACAGTCTATAAAGGATATTTTAGTACAAAAAACTAAAATAAGGATCCATGGGACTTTATATTGGTCGAGTGCTGAGTTCAGGATTGTGTAGTAGGGCGTGGAAGAGTGATAAAGATAGTGTTGTTGCTTGGGCTCGAACTAGCGACCCTTGGCTCTCCAGCCCGATGCTCTACCGCTGAGCTAAAGGGAAATTCCCTTCAGCTGATGCTTGTAAGGCAACCTAATCAATCCACATCTTTAACACTATTCCCCCCTTTTTCAAACACTAACCCAGGTTCTTTGACTTCCCACCAAGGGTTCTTCCACCTTGAACGGGGAGGGTCAACGGCACCAGTTTGTTGAAGGACAAGGAATAGTGATAAAGATAGTGCTGTCGCTGGGGCTGGGGCTCGAACCTGCGACCCTTGGCTCTCCAGCCCAATGCTCTCACGCTGAGCTAAAGGGTAATACCCAACAGCCGACACTTGTAAAGCAACCTAATCAATGTACAGGGGGCTATCTCTATTGTTCTGAAGGAAAGGAGCCTAACTATCCTATCCTTGTTTCCCTAGAAATCAATGTCTCTATAGTCTAAGTTGAAATCATTCACCGTTATGCACTACATCTATTTGATACAGGTTTATCTGGTTGCTGCCAATATCTGGTGTTAATTGCATGGTCTATTTTTTCCAAACAGCGGGTGACCTTCATAAACACAAGCTCGATATTTTACACCAATTATGACAAAAAAAGCATAATGAAAATTCATCTTACGCAAAAAATGTATGATCTTTTACTGTGTAAGCATAAAAACCTGATTTCATCAAAATCAAACAATCATAACATCACACCCATCTTTTGGTAGGTTTGGCGGAGGGTACAGATCCAAGTGCCAGAAACTTTACATTATTATCCAATGACAAAACCGTCTAATACATCAGTTGGCACAGATTGACGATCACAATTATACCCCCCTCGTCTTCCCTAACTCTACCTGGCACTGCAGCGGCCAAAGGAAGGGTTATCCGTTTACATACATATCTAACATCAACCGGAATCACAAAACAAAAGCTCTAGGTGGTTGCCTTGCCAACATTTCCTGACAGCATTTGTGACATTGCTTTATACTTATGATGCTGATGTACTTCTCTGAACCCGCCTCTCCGAGTGTGTGCTAGCATTGTCAGAACTGACAAGTCGTGTGGGGGACATGTACTCTCGTGACTGTAACCCACACACCAACAGGTGTACACAAATGTATTCTGAAATCAAACATGTCAGTTGTGGTGTGCGAAGGTCACCATGAAGGTCAAAAGGTCAATATTACCAGGTCAGTTGTACTTTTACCCTTGTGCATTGACCGAATATTCTGTTACCAGATCAACCACAAAATCCCACATATCACAACCTCCCTCCCTGCAACACACCAACCCACAAAATCAGAATGCAATAATAGGATGTGCCACTATATTTACATATATTGATGCGATAAACACCGCCCCCAAAACTATGTGCAACCAATGACCAATCAGAATCTGCCCACATGGGTAAACTGTGAATTTGCTTTACCATAACCAATTAAATCTTTTATCTTTAAGTGATGCACAAAATACATTCTACTCTGTGATTGGCTACTTTCTAAACCATACACCTGGCTACACCAGAAGCAAACATGCAAGGCTTGGTATACCGGAAGAGGATGCAGAGATACCCGAATCCACGCTGGAGGTATGGGAGCCATTTTGTTGATCATGTGACGTCGTGCCATTTTGAAAAAGTGAACCGCTCGTGGTTTCGACATGTTCATGCTTGCGTTTAGTTACGGTAGCATACAGACTGCCATCTACTGGGCCTTGTGAGTGCTGTTCTCGGATGGAGCGGGTGGCGCCCTCTCTTGATGAAGACGTCACACTGTTTTCATTCACATCTGAAAATTAGTCGGATATATTGCAGCTGTCATGCAGAAAAATAAAAATGTCATCAAACTGCTGTGGTAAATGTTCACAAATTTGTTTTATTTGTGATTTGACAATCTTTTCAAAAGATAAGTGCTTCCGTATCTGACTGATGATATTGTATCTATTTTGGAAATGTATAAAACCACAGCTACATAATTTTGCAGTAAGATCTCATTCTGGATTTCATTTTCCAGAAATTCACTTTTCATAATAAGCAGAATTTACACACATTTCTTGAAACAGTTCAGTTTTAGTTTTTTGTTTGCTTGTTTAAAAACTTGAGAATTTGATTTCAAAATATTCGGCTATGTTTTCACACTACAGGAGATAATGTAGTCAATAAAATTAAAATACACCTAGAACATATAAAGGAACATTTACCACAATGCAACTATGGTGATATAAAACTGTTATTGGGATCGTCATCAAACACACAAAATCAATTCTGTGGGTAGATGGTGGCAAGATGTAACCTTGAACTGTATCAAGGTCGTAACCTTGGGTCTTGTAAAGGTCTTATACAGGATCTACTGTATAATCTAGGTCACAACTTCATTATTTTTATAAGTACCGAAACCTTTGTTTCATAACAATATACAAATGTTGAGATAGTTATCTTGAACAAAAAATTACAATGAATGGGTCTATTGGTCTTTCACCACTAGGGTACTCAAAGAATGTGTATGATTTTTTTAATTTCCCGTACTACATTCGACTTCTTTCTCCATTACATGTTGATGTTTAATCTTACCACCACATAGCTCCATGCAGTAAGACCTGATGAAGGCTCAGCTGATGAGCCTGGTACTACTCTAATTTTAACTCATTCAACCCTGAAGACACATTTGAACTCTTCCAATTCAAAGGTTGGAATAGTCCATTATGAAATTTCAGGGGTGAATGAGTTAACACTACTAGATAACAATGAAACATACACAGCACCTAATAAACGTCAAACATCACACTTCAAAGAACCAATGCCTTCAACTCGGTCTTAACAGCTCTCGGCTGTTAACACTGAGAATCCTCGGCCAATGTACTCATGTATATAAATAGGGTTCACGAATATTTAAGACAAATAAAGGTTCCAAAATAGAGAGACGATAAAAAAACAAAGGAATTTTTCAGACATGTAACAAAAGATTAAAAAATAAATATTATATTTTTTTTTGGTATATCATCATTTCCAGCCCATATGTTACTTTGGGAAGAATTTCCAAGCTGCTCTCTACGCATACTCTCATATATATTTTTTTCATGAATCAAATAGTGACGGAAGCCAGTCTTGTAGTTTGAAAGAAGAAAAGATTATTGGAAAACTATTTCAAATATTTACACCAAAAAAATTACACAAAAATGAAATATTTTTAATTTTTTGTTAGAAAGATACTTGAATAAGCAGTTCTACAGGAATACACAGCAATTGAAAGTATTTCTTTGAAATGTTGATGTTTTAATGTTGAAAAGTTTGAACATGAAAAAATAACATGTAAATAAATACACAAACAACAAACTTTGGAAGAAACATGCAGATGTAGAAACTGATTTTCTTAGATGAATTTCCTAGGTCAAAGTTCAAAATGTAATCTAATCATTTCAATGCAAGAAGATTAAAAAATCACATGCAATCCGTACCACAACAAGACTCCACCACCAATTATCACAATGCTTCATATCATACAAAATAGTACACAGAGTAAAATCATCACGCCACTCGTCTCAGGTAGACAAAGATTTGTAACGCCATCATACCCTAAATGTAGGTACTACAGAAGTTTCAACAGAAAGAAAATGTTCACATTTATTGTACCCTTCAAGATACAGGTAAATTTCAGGAAAGAGGTCAACTCCATTCTGTCGGAGTTTAGGAGCATTACAGTTCATTTGTACATGAACATCACCAACCTTTTTCTAAAACACGGTGAACCATAAATTCAAAGTTTTACCATTTTTGATACAAATCCAATTTCATATCAAAATAATTCATGTTGATTTCAAAGTTGTCTTACCCGATGAGTAAGTTTTTCTTTGTAGAATATCTCAAGAATTTGCATAGTCCAGTATTAAAGTTTCATAAAATCAAGTGCTAGCATGAACTATCGAAAATAAAACTCCATGGTCCCATCTTTTGTGTAAATGTTAGATGTGAATATAAATTTCAAAATTAAGGCACTTTAACAAATTCCACAAAAATTAATATTCCCATACTGTTCAAAGGAAAACATTTTAAACACATGTTTATTGTGAAAGTATAGATAAACATATTTCAACCCAAGAAATAAGATGACAGAGCATCAACAGAAATGATAAAAGCTCAGGCGGTTATTTGAAACACTCAACTACAGCGGGGTAATTCACCTGGGACAATACGGTAATAATGAAGCCAGGCTATGATGAGATAGATACCCATTTGTATGCAGTAAAGCTCACCAACAGATGAAAGGCATCGTTTAGTCCATTTCAAATCAGATACCATAACATTTTCAATTTATCAGAACATCTCACATGATTTTCAAATGGGGGAAAAGCACAGATTTTTTCTTCAAAACAGCGGAATGTATCTGACAGACTCCGGTTGAGAAACCAACGACTAACTCTGCACTTTAAACAGATCTTGTTCAGTCTGGTAAATGTAGTTGCTCAGAGATAATGTACTTTATTTGAAATGAATGACAGAATTTTGTAGATAGACACACCTGAAGCAGACAAATGGATAAGTTTAAACACTTTTTCCATTCTTTTTCCTATAAAAGTGACTAGCTGAATTTAGATATAGAAAAAACAAACAGATGTATTTTAACATTAGAGAATGAACAACGACAGCCAGACTAATATATCACTTCCAACTTTCCACGACCCAAAATAGCTAAATTTAGATATGATAACAAATGGATAGATTTACAAAATTTTCTATTAGTCTTTAAAAATCCACTTAAAACGAGCCAAAAAAATGATGAGACAGGCTGACAATCAATGTTCTCCAAACTGCATCAATTCTAAGATACTCTACGTACACACACATATGAACTCTCCCTAAAACTATCAAATGTAGAGAATCACATTCTGCTCTGTGAAAAAAATTGACCTGTTATATCCCACTACATGATCATTAGAGACAACTAATATGGGGTTCCCATTCAGAATTTGGGGTTTCTTCTATGTCCTATGTTAAGGGGACCTTGGAGAAACTTAGGTTAGGTGTGCTGTACCCCAATGTATGTGTAAGAAGTGACTAATTGTGGATCTTCTCAAGAATTATCGTTTTTTCTGTGTCTTATGTTTAGGGGACCTTTGAGAAACTTAGATTAGGTCTGCTGTACCCCAATGCATGTGTATCATAAATATAAGAAGACTAAAGGTGGCCCCCTCCAGAGTCAACAGTTTTCTCCTATGTCTTCAGCACAGGGCACACTTGTGATATTAAAACTGGTCTGATGGTCAAATTACAACTCTTTTGTACCTCTTTCCTTTAATTTCTCTTCTATCTACACCTTAGTTTTGCCCTGTCTCTTGACATACCTGACATTATTTTTCAAGCAGTAACCCTAAACATATGCATAGCTTTATTTGGCACTATGATTGTAACTCAGGTGTTAGCTATAGTGTAAGACTTTGACTTGTCTGTGTCATAACTTTTGCCTCTAACAGAGCACTATGCAAACTTATACCACATCTTGACGGTGAGGAACAATAACTTTAACGATTTTTTTCTTTACTGACAGCTCGGTTCTTTATTGAAACTCTGACAGCTTGGAGAAAGCCTCCTCACCAACGGCTTGGACAGATTGAAGTACGGTTATTTTCACTAATCACTCTTAGAGTACGTAGAAAATATATTTGCTAATGACTCTGAGAGCATGGAAACATTTCTTTACTGAAGTCTCTGAAAACTTGAAGAACAATTCTAGACAGCGCTCTGAAGTATGGAGGAAGTTTCTTAATAATGACTGACACCTTAACCCATTCACCCCTAAAGTCACATTTGAACCTTACCAAATCAAAGACCGGGCAAGTCCAGTTTAGATATGTTGGGGTGAATGAGTTACAGCAAATTTCTGTACTGAGGGTTGATCCTTAAAACCGTTTCCTCTTTTTTTGATAGATCTACAACTTAAAGAAACTGTTTCGCTGATGATTCTAAAATGCTGTCAACTATACCCCCTCAATGACAAAGTTTGTCTTCAGCTAATGTTAATTATGTTGTATTACACAATGAACGTATCACCCATAAAATACAATATATACATATTAAAATGGAATCTAGGTAAAAACTTAAAATCGCACACAAACCTGACATAATCCTCGCCACTTCAGCGTCCCAATCATAACCATCCTTCGTCTTGGACATTTTGTAAGTGAAACTTCCCAATAATCTGTTTTGTTCCTTCAGGACTGTTGAACATGTTATGATACTAATAAGCTAAAAACTTGGTGTATATATTATAACACTATAACTATACTTGTATACAAAAGCGACTTACAAACAAACCTACACACAAAAGTGTACAGGAATGTGTCCTAACCGCAGATTACTCACGAAAACCAGACTGAAGTAGATTTGTTTTGTAATCAACATTCAACATCCGTGTACACATACCTACGTCCCTACATCATCCCAACCTCCACGCTTCAGCAGCCGAATCAGACATTTAATAAACTTTACATCTTATAACTGCACCATCATTCAGATATTTTTTAAATCTGACATTTTCTTTCCAGAAATTCATCACCTTTATGACATTGGAATAGATATCTGGCAGGACGGTTGATTGCGAGTTACGTAATATCGTGATAGATTAGATATGATACATTTTGGTTAACCAAGATCTCCTTTTGAGGTGTTCTGAAAATCTGAAATGATCTTATATGTTAAAAAACACATTTAATATATGGGGTGGTCGGGTGGAGCACTTGCCCTTTTACCAAGGTGGCCGGGGTTTGATTCCCCGATCAAACATGTGGTCACCTT